GGGGGGGGGGGGGGGGGGGGGGGCTACGGGAGGTAGAAAAATGAGCTGGGAGTGGAGGGGTAGAATAAATGCTGGCAAAAAATTAGAATTAACCTGGCAATGATTTAAAAAAAAAAGAAGTATAAAATCCGTTGACTTGGCCGAGAAATGGAAATAAATCTCAACAATTTAGTGGAAAACAGCGTAAGTAGGGCACTTACGTTAATTACCGTTTATAAATAAACGGTAAATGCGATTTAACCGAAAATCTATACAGTTCTTCATCAGAGCAAAATGGACAAATTTACAAAATTTGAGACAGCTAACGTAAATCTAACGATAGTTATCGTGAACGAAAGAATTGCTGACATAGATCCGGTAACTATTATAGGTGGGAATGGGAATGGGAATGGGAATGGGAATTATAGGTGGGAACGTCAGTAATTGGAAACAAGGGAAAAACTAATAGATTTCCCTTAATTTCCGCGGGATACCACATGACATACTTACAATTAGTCGATCAAGTAGCGGATTTTTCGATCGATTCATGGGCTCGTGGATAGATTCACGAGGTTTGTCGATCGCCTCACGGGTTTTGTCGATCGCCTCACGGGCTTTGTCGATCGCCGCATGGGGTTCATCGATCGCCTCACGGGGCCTGTAGATCGACTTACGGGGTTTTCCGATCTCTTCACGGTTGTCGATTGAATCACGTCAATCGGTTCGCGATTTTATTTTTCGATCGGTTAAATCGTCTCCTGAAGATTCTCCATCATTTCCGCGTGATACCTCATGACATACCTAGCTCGAAGTTCGAATAGTTGTGCGTCATGTTTCGTGGGCAAGCCGATCAATTCACGGAGTTGCTGATCGAGAATTAAAGGGTGCGAAAATAAAATGTTGGGAAAATAGTGATAAAGAAATTATGGGGATAGGTTTGTTAATTGAAAAGCGTAATAGAAGTGTGAGGCACACTTATTTGAAAGCAGCGAAAGGAGGTATTCTTGTCCAGGAAGCCCGGATTTTCCTATGGGACAGAAGAGGCAGCTACTTGCACCGCCGTGCTGGGGAAGAACGCCGTATGAACCTTCAGGAGTTGCCAAATTTGCCTTGATAAAACACGAATTCCCTGGTAAACTTATTGATATTCTCTCTCCAATTTTTCAGATAATTTTGCTCGCAATTTCACCCAAAGTCCCTGAAAATTTCAAGGAAAAATATTCATAACTTTCCTCAAAAATAAACATGTAACTGAAGGAAATTTGGCGATTCTCGAATGTTCATACAGCGCTCTTCCTCAGAGCGGCAGTGTAGCGGCAAATATCAGGGGAGGCAAAAGCCGAGCTATGAGAAAAAGGGGAACAAAAAATAGAGACCACAAAATTGTGACAAACGGCGGCACGAAATTCCAGAGCGTGAGCTCGGTGTGCACGCCTCCATGAACAAAAGGGCGCCAATTATTGCGGCCATTGCATACTGCCGTGCTAAGGAAGAACGCGGTATGAACATTCGAGAGTTGCCAAATTTCCTTTGATGAAATGTTTATTTTTGAGGAAAATTATGAATATTTTTCCTTTAAATTTTCAGGAACTTTACATCAATATACCATCGAAATTCCCTGAAAAATTGGAAGAAAAATATTCATAAGTTTACCAGGGAGTTTGTATCTTATTTGGCAACGCCTGAAGGTTCATACGGCGTTCTTCCTTAGCACGGCAGTGTATGCTTCAGTTCTGGTGGCCGCCTCAGCTGCGGTTTTTTGTTTGTTTTTTTTTTTCAGTTTTTACGGTGGTCCGTATATTCAAAGAGTTTTAGGCTTATCGACAAGCTCAAAGTTCCCAGAACTTTGAGGGATTAGGTTATGTTTGAGTTATGACTTGTATTCCGTCTGAGAATAAAACGTCCGTAATGGACCACTAGCCAAGGTACGAATTTAAGCAATCTGATACATGTTTCTTAACCAGAATTTCACGTAGAACACGATTCACACTACGAAAATTACCGAAATCAACTTCTAATGAAGATATTAACGTATATCTTAACGTATCTAACGTATATCTTTATTTCGCACTAATTACGAGGAATTTGAACTGCCCGCTCACAAGAAACTCAAAGCTCTACGTGAGTCAAATCGCGAACTACAACGGTTTCAGCAAGCTTCTCAATCGAGCAATGTTCATTTTCCACCATGTGTTGTTCAAACTATTGGTAATTTGCTATAGCTGAGCCAAAGTGTCAAGATTGAAGTTGAAAATTTTTACATCGCAGAGACTGTCATGATAAACATTTAGCGCGCGATGTGAATCACGTAGAGCATTGAGTTTTCATGAGCGGGTGGTTTGAATTCACGCATCAAGAATCATTAAATATCTTCGTCAGGAGTTGATTTTGGTAATTTTCGTTGAGCGTATCGTGTTCTACGTAAAATTTTGGTTGAGAAACATGTATCAGAATGCTGAAATTCGTACCTTGTCTAGTGGTCCACTTGAAACGAGTGAGAAGCTAAGATTATCCTTCATTTCCGCGTGAAACCACTTTGCTATGCTCTCGAGGAAGAATTAACAATGAACACTTGGGTAATAATCGTTTAATTTATGTAAAAGAGAAAAATCACGGGCAGAATGTAGCAGAGCGATGAAGCATTTGTGAGGTGATGATAAATCATTCCGGATGCAATGATTAAGTGGACGTATTTCTATCAAACGGACCTAAGCGCCATAGGGTGAGGAAGGTAGAAGGGGGCTTGGATTGGCGGCGGAATCGGGCGTCCGGCTTATTCCGTCCTATACTCGCAATGCTTTTACATGGCGCTTAGGTCCGTTTGACAGAACGCGCTATCCGGGATTCTAAATTCCTCAAAAGAAACTCAAACTAGCGCTTAGTTCCGTTTGATAGAAATACGTCCAAATAAGTTCCCGATTTACTAAACGAATAATAGTTTGTCCACGTCAATTGACCGAATGACAAAAAATGTGTATTTTGCGCAAAATCCTAATTGACTGCGTGAGCGAACTTTCAATATGCGTGATAAAATAACAACTTAATTGGGGAAAGGCTGCAAAGAATTCAGGATAATTTAAAAACCCCGGAACGATTCGAAAGGTTACAATTTCATCATCAAGAAAAATTGCATCGGTTCTCGGTTTTTTTTTATTCGTCCTCTGTTTTTTCACAGCCTTCTCCCAAATTAAGTTATTATTTTACCATGTGTTTTGACTGATTAAGTTGTTCTCCATTTTTAGTATGCGTTCGCGCACTTTTGGTTTCTGTTTTAGGCGTCGTACGGGCAAAGAGCTATGCTAGCTGGTGAAGAATGGTTACGAAGCCGAGGATTGCTGTGGGTGCTATGCGGGTTGCTGGCTATCTCGTTTGCAGGCGCCCGCACCAACCTCGCCGGGAAAATCAAGGCGGGGCTTGTCAGACACGGTATCATCCCGGAGATCATGATGAAGTCACCTAAATTTCATGCCTACGTAAGTGTCTATGGAGATGTTGCATGTGTGAGGAATTTGCGATTTGACTGTGGATTCCTAAGTAAAAGTTCGCGAGAAACACGATGGTGCCACTGGTTTTCTCTGAAATCAACTCCCAAACTCAAAAAAAGCTCTCAAGTTGAGGCCAACATTGAGGGGATATCCCACGCTATCCTGAGAGTCCACCTCTACATCAAGACAAACTTTCCATGCAAAGATATGGAGCAAATACATTGACCGGGCTGTCACTTAAATTGAGGACTCCAAAACTGAAAACACGGCAACCCTGCTAATATATTCGCTCCCTATCTTTGGCATGGAGAGTTCGTCTTGATGTAGAGGTGGACTCTCAGGATAGCGTGGGATATCCCCTCCATTTTGGCCTCAACTTGAGAGCTCTTTTTGAGCTTGGGAGTTGATTTCAGGGAAAACCAGTGGCACCATCGTGTTTCTCGCGAACTTTTACATAAGAATCAACAGTCAAATCGCAAATTCCTCACACATGCAACATCTCCATTCTCCAGGAGGAGTTTTACGTCTGGACCGGGTTTATTATAAAGGAACCAACCTACATTTTCGGAAAAATTGAGTTAAGAATGTTTTTGATTTCCACTAGCCGTATATTTTCTCCTGCCAATAACTGAAAAACGAAAAACAGAAATTAGTGTGTTAAGGGTGGGGTTAAAGTTTATTTTCTACATTGAGCCTTATGCAGGAATAAAATTTCAAACTCCCTTTTCTTTATTTCAAGTTTATGTGAGTTGGTTCCTTTCTGATGAACTCGGTCCATTTTGTTTTCGTTACTATCCACAAACAATGCACCCAAACATTTAAGATATCTGTTTTGAATTTGTACGAAATTCTGTTAGCGGAATCAACTATCTATTGATGAGACACACAAGATACCGATATCCAAACGGCTAATAAGTACACTTATTATTAAGGACAAATCGACGCGGTGGTTAGACTGCCCAGTGGATCGAGTCAATTAGAGAGGTTGCACATATCATTTTTGTCGAAAACTGCAAAAAATGTTACTTCATCACATTTTAAATGTTAATAGGTGTTTCTAGAAGAAAATTTTACAAGAAAATTTTACAAGAATACCGATGGAACACTTTTAAAACCTCAAAGTTTTTTATGAGCGGAGTCATGAGCTTTTAAAGTTTCCAAATTTTGTTCGACTTCCCCATCTCCAATTGATTCGTTCCATTGTGTACCGAATGATGGACTCGGCATCAAAGGATGCCTGTCATTCAATATATCGGAGCGCCTTCAATTTCGCTTGACACTGTGCAACACTTCTGTTGTGAAATAGTTGCTTGAGGCGCCGTGGCATGACTGCCAGCGCGGAACGCGCACTGGCGCCTACAAACCTAAGAGGATACTTCAAGCATTGTGCAGTGTGTGAAGTATCCCCTTAGGTTTGTAGGCGCCAGTGCACGTTCCGCGCTGCCAGCACGCCACGCCGCACGCAGCGTCGCGTCGTCGCTCCGCTCCGCTGTGTTAGGCTCTAATATTTAAACTCGCGGAGCCGGCCGTTTTCAACTCTTGATTTTGGAATGTTTGCACACTCTGCATTTATTATTCTCAATGAAAGTGATGAAAAAAAAAAAAGGATGAAAGGAAAAAACAATGTGTATTTTGTACATGATTAAGTGATTCCTTGTCAAATTTAATGATTTCCAAAGCACTTTAATTTTCTCCTTCATATTTTGTGCTTTTACTGTGCTGCAGCGTGGTGTACGCGCAACCGAACGCTCAAAATTAGACTATTTGTCTCGTATATTCATTTTTGTACATTTCCTCTCAACACACTTACGGCTCATTGAAATTAATATCGACGCCATCCAGTGGCGTAACGGACTTCCGCTGGGCCCCCCCGCAAAATTTTTTCTAGGCCCCTCCCCATGTCGATAAAATTCCAAAATTATCCCCCCCTCTCACCCCTTCCCATTTTTTGGCCCGGGGCATTTCAAATCACGGGCTTGGACTTGGACTCGGAATGCCTTACCCCTCACCGTCCCAGATCCCGTACCCGATTATATGGGACCCCTAAAGGATCAAGGATCTAAAAGGTGGCAGGAGCCCAGCCCAGGCCCAAGAATCTATAGAGGCCCCCAAGAGCCTTGGGGGCCCTTTAGATTATTTGATCTCCCAAAGCCCGAAATACAAAAAGTGACAAAAAAAGAAAAACATTTTAGTAATCACTGAGTGGACATTGGAAGGCAGGGGCCCTCCAGCAAACAAAAAGTTTGGAACAGTCCGAAAGAAGTATGAAAAACCCTGAGCTAACAATAAAAATCAGAGGAAGAAGCCCCACCTCGGTAAGTAAAGGCCCAAAGTTTGAAACCAAAGCAAAGCATCAAAGAGAAAGAGAGAAAAAAAATTCCGGCGGCCGAGGGCCCCCTTGGCGCCTGGGCCCCCCTGCATAGCAGGGTCTGCGGGGGCGCCCGTTACGCCACTGACGCCATCGCTTGAAAAAAGTTTTATAAATATTTGCCACGTTTTAAAAATGTAAATGTTTTTAAAATGAAATAATATTTTCATTGAAAAAAAAGGTATTTATAAGGTATATTTTATTTCGAAAATTTTCAGGGTAGAAATAGAACCAAAAATTCACAAATGACAATTTGAAAAGATGAATAAAAAAAGAAAGTAACATTTCCTTTAAAAAATGAGTTACCGTAAAAAAACCTCATTCTCTCTCAATTTTCTCATTTCGATATTATCAATATAATTTTACCTACGGACTAAAATATAATGCTTGGATCAAGTCACTGTCGCTTACTTTACGCGTGGACGTAAACTACTGGACAAAACAGGTGCGCGGACAAAAAATCGTTGACGGAATGTCCTGAAACCCTCCGATTCTGTCCTTGTTCAACGCACTTTTCACATTTAAAAGAAATTATATTTAACTATGAATTTTGATAGGATAGAATGTGCGACTAGTTACATCCAAAGCCACTCCTAGTTCATTTTTAATTTTTCTCCAAAATGTGACTCGGTTCCTTTATGCTGAATTAAGCCCATTTACGCGCGTGACATGTCCATTATTTTTTTAAAAAATGCCTCGTTTGAGGAACCGAAATTGAGGAGCTTGGAGGACAAGGCGCACAAGTGCAGTTTTTGCTATTTCAAGAAATACGTGTTTGAAATGTCAATATTAGATGGATCCTTATGGCGGAAGGAAAGTTCAAACTGACTTCTTGATGCTTAAAAATTGGAATAATAAGCGATTTTTTCACAGAATATGCATGTTCTATTTGCATGAAATCCAGCAATCATTAGACTATAAACTAATACTATTAATTTTTTAAGCACATTTATCTGGCTAAGCTTAAAGTGATTGATATAAAAATACTGTACTTATTTAATAGAGTGATTAATCGTCAAAATATACATATATAACTTATAAAATAAAAAAAATAAAATTTAATATAATTCTCAATCTGTAAATAATTCAACGAATATTAACTAAAGAAGAATAACCTATTATTTTTTGAATAACACAATTATTTAGCCCAATCAGACCACCAAAAACTGTTGAACTAACCATAATGGAGAAAAATCTTACTTGAAACCTACTTGAAATCATTAAATAACTTTATGATTTCAAAAATTGTACTCATGCGCCTTGACCTCCAAGCCCCTTAATTATAATCGACCTTAGTAAAATAATATTGAAGTAAACTCACCGAATGATGGGCATCAAATCAAAGACAGTGAGATGAAAAAACTCTTAGTCGAGTCTCAAGAGCCACATTACGATATTTCATCAAACTTGAACGAGAATGGCTAGCCTTTGCGTCTAAATACCACAGCATCTGGTGTTGCAGCTTCCTCCAGCCTTTGAAGTGCCCGCGAGGAACAATGAAAAAACAGGACTAATATAATGAAGAGCAGACTGAAGTATACGATCAGAAACCAGCCAGCTTTAATTTCACTCATTCCAGATTTAATTTCACTCGAACCGTGAGCTACGTGGCTCAAGGATTATCACTCGCGAGACACACTATTGCCGAAACAAAAAGTGGGGACGGATCCAAATCGAGTCAAATACAGAGGCGGATCCAGCAGTTTGGAAACAACGGATTTTCTCCATTTAAACCTATGCTAAATAATCGATTCTTGTGGGAGCATCCGGCCCCTCCGAGAATCGATACGTTTTCATATGTTTAAATGGAGAAAAGACAATGTTGCCAATTTGAAGAACGCCGTATGAACATTCGAGAGTTGCCAAATTTCCTTTAGTGAAATGTTTATTTTTGAGGAAAGTTATGGAGATTTCTCCTTGAAATGTTTAAAAAATTTGGGAGAAATGGGAGACAACATTACCTGGAAAATTGGAAGAAAAATATTCGTAAGCTTACCAGGAAATCCATCTTTTGAAAATGTAAATTTGGCAACGCCTGAAGGCCCATACGGCGTTTTTCCTTAGCACGGCAGCATGGTGAGAACTGCAAGCCCGCTCGCGTTCTCAGTAGAAATATTCGTGAAGTAAGAAGTATTTTTCAGCGGAAAAATCGCGATATTTTGAAATTATGTTGCGATTTTTTTAACGATTTTTTTTAAACTATAAAACCGCTAGGATCGTCAACATCTGAGCGAATACCCTCGATCCTCTCGCAAATTTATCTCTTTAAAATCACGCTCGATAAAATTGAAATTTTAGCTTAATTCATCACAATTTTTTTTATCCGATGGTATTGCGAGAAATCGCCATCAATGAAATCGCCATTTTATTGCAAATTTATGCGATGAAATCGAAATTTATCGCAATTTTTCATCCAATAATATATTGATGATTCGCCGTCGATAAAATCACGATTTTATTGCAAATGAATGCGATGAAAGCGGGATATATCGCAATTTTTCATCCAATAATATATTGATCATTCGCCGTCGATAAAATCACGATTTTATTGCAAATTAATGCGATGAAAGCGGGATATATCGCAAATTTTCATCCAATAATATTGCGATGAATCTATGTCGATAAAATCGCGACTTCATCGCAAATTAATGCGATGAAATCAGAATTTATCGCAATTTCCTATCCGATGTAATTCGATAAATCCACGTCGATAAAATTGCGATCTACTCTCCGATCAAATCGCAACTCATCGCTATCACTGCTAATCGGGCACCGCGATGAGAACTGAGATGAGACTATAGCACCGTTTGAAAAAAATGTCGAATTTCGAGAGCGACAAACTGTAACGGCCAACCGAGGGTGTAAGTTGAACACTGGGATGATATACAGTGATATCAGGAGGATCGGGTAATTCACTTTTTTTTACCTAAAACTCGGGCGCATAGCTTGTGTGGGGGGGGGGGGGGGAGCGTGGCATGCTGAACTTGAGTTGTGGTTGTGAGACTACACCGAGATCTTCTCCGCCTCCAACGTTACCGCTCCGCAAACGCGCTGCGCGCAATTTCACCCCATCCGCACGAAACTGTGCGGCTGTCAAACTTTGCATTAATTGAGGGGCTTGGAGAACAAGGCGCATGATTGCAGTTTTTGAAAAAATAAAGATATTAATGATTTCAAGTAAAACCAGCCTCAATGAATATTCTGTGAAAACTTACCCCAAAATTCCATTTTTAAGCATCGAAGAGATAGTTTGAACTTTCTTTCCGCCAAAAAAATACATGTAATTTCAAAACTTCAAACACGTATTTCTCGGAATAGCAAAAGCAGCACTTATGCGCATTGTCCTCCAAGCCCCTCAATTCTTGCTTAACAATCAGAAATATAGGAAAACATTATACATATACAGCCTTGGACGCTACCGGGCATATGAGAGGCTTGGAGGACAAGGCACATAACTGCATAAGTGCTGTTTCTGATATTTCGAGAAATATGTTTTTGAAGTTTCGAAATGACACGGATCCTTACAGCGGAAAGAAAGTTCAAACTGACTTTTTTATGCTTTAGAATTGGAATTTGGGAGCGAATTTTTCATAGTATATTCATTAAGACTAATTTTACTTGAACTCATTAATATGTCGATTTTTTCAAAAATTGCACTTACGCGCCTTTGTCCTCAAAGCCCCTAACATGTAGGTTCAGTTACACGATCAAATTGAGCCATTAAACTGAAGCTCTGATTGGTGGAAAAAGACCTGAGGTGAGGATGCGACCAATGAGAGGCCCAATTTGATGGCTCAATTTGATCGTGTAACTATGTGGGCACCACTCGACTGAAAGAGTTTCTGATTTTTCAGGTTGCCTTCGGGAAGAAATACTCTGCCAGATTTGGAAACTTGATCCCGATAGAAGCAGTTGGTAATCGGCCAACTACAATGAAATGGAAGACGAAATTTCGTGAAAATGCCGTGTATACTCTCATCGCTATGGGTGAGTTCGATCACATCCCAGAAAGATTTTATTGTCACTTAAAGCGTCGTTTCTTGTCGATAAAATTTGTCTTTTTTTAGTTAAAGAAACGTTGTTTTACCTGTGTTTTTTTTTTACTTACACTTGAAGATAGCAAAATGACGTTTTTTTTTTAACTAAAAAAAACTTATGTTGAAGTGAAATCGCACGGATGTAACTAAAAAAAAAAAAAAAATTGTCGACAAGAAATGGCTTTAAGTCAAAATAATATCTCAAGAATTTTTTATTTGGTGAGATACATGGGTGGGCCAAGTTTAGAGCCTGCTATTAAAAATTCATAAGCGCCGAAGGAGCAATCGACACGACGGCGCACAGTGGATCGAGTCATTAGGAGAGGTCGGACAAAATTTGGAAACTTTAAACGCTAATTACTCCGTATATACAAAATTTCGAGGCTCTATAAATGTTTTCATTGATTTCCTCGAGAAATTGTCTTCTTTAAGCACCCCTTGAAATTTAAACTGTGACGGAATCAACGTCAAAATTTTCAGTTTCAGTCAAAAATTCCATGTCCGACCTCTCTGGTTGACTCGATCCACTGTGCGTCAGTTTTCAAGCTGCTTGCGTGATGCCTCAGTAAGACGCATCAGCATGACGTAGCACGATATTGGCTCACAGCGCCTTCACTCGATGGTCAAACTTCACGCATTGTCACGCAGCTACTTTAGTGGCCTATCCGATCCAAACCCAACTGAAATGGATTTAGCAGCCAAGTTTTTCAGAAAAAAGGTGCGCACTCGTTGAAGAATTTTGGTTTTATTTTTCATAAAAATAAAACAAAATAATTTTTTCATAGCAAATGACGAGTAGACACTTCATTTTCCGAAAACAATACTTGCCTCTTTTCAATTAAAGTTGGTCCAATCTAGGTCACTGATTTCGAGGACACGCCCAGTGTTAGGTTTCGAGCGTTACGCAAATTATTTTATATTTATAAAATAATATTGCACATAATATGAATTACATCCTGCCCTGAGCATTAGGGCGGATCGGGAAAAAAATAATTTCTGGGAATAGTTTGCGGCTAGAGGAGATATTTTTTCAGAGCATAAATGATGAACATTCGTCCAAATCGCATCTATAGTTTTTCATTTTCTGAGGTTCCAAATTAAGCAATTTTCATTTTCGTCGTATCTAATTTCACCATTTCTTCGTCAATATTACCTTCATGAGCAGAATATTTGCGTATGAGCCAGTAAAATATTTTAATTTAACATAAAAGAAAGCTATCCTCCAATATTCAAGTCAATCAGATCACTTTTTAAGGCTTCGAAATCGATTGGAATATCTTAGGACTTAATTTGCGGAAAATTGCAAGCTCTTGGAAAATGTTGATTTTCTCGACCGCTTTCACGTGATAAAACAAACCCGACTTTATCCAACATATTCTTACAGGATATGTTTTAAGCCCATGAAAAAGCCAAACCAATAAGTTCGATCACCTGATGTTCCAAAATTCGATTTTTAACTAAGCATGAAATCGCGTTCTCGTGCGATTAAGCAGGTCCCGTAAAGTATGAACGCTAGCAGCTAAAAGTCTGAAAATCTGTCTAAATGCACACATTTTACCATACATTCACGGGGTTAGTACAGTTTTCCTTACAAATTTTCACAATACTCTGGTTAGTGTATTTTCCGAAGGAAATGCGCTATCTTATATATTTCAAAATAAAGCCACATGCGTAACTGAAAATAGCCATAATAATTGAAAATCGCATTTTTCGCCGATCGAAATTACAGGCAAAGCAGAAATACATTCCAGTAAATATCTAAGAATGTTGGTTCAGCACCAATAACGAGGTCTCTATGCGTCAAACAATGAGCATTTGTCATAATGCCTACTTTCCTGTGCTGGCGTTAAAGTCTCTGAAATGATTCCTGCATCCTGCATTTTGCTGTCTCGGCAATCCTTTGTGTGATTGAGTATGATCAAATTTTCGAATACTAATGTATCTATGCATCAAATAGCTCCTATTTGTCGGTATGCCTATCACTGAAAAAAAGAATCTTAAATTTGCCGCCAAGAAGTGTTCCTTCTTAAATCAAGAATTTTTCTGGTTAATAGAAGCTACTTTTTTGCTTAACCCGAACATTATTTTTCTTGTATCAAGAAAAAGTCAGCTTAAAGTAAGATAAAAAATATTATTGGCGGCAAATTCAAGAATCTTCATGCTTAATCTAAGTTACTTTTTTTTTTTTTTTCAGTGACTTTTCTCTGCTGTGTTAGAGTCCCCACAGTGATTCCTGCATTTTAATCCAATCCTACAGATTTTGGGTTCAAATTAAAGCTGAGAGTACCCTGAAAGTAACTGTAAAATTACTGTTTTCCTATCATTATTGGTTCGCAAGAAAATTAAGTGGATACCTTACATACTAGATGGCGCTCGTATATTTTAAAGAAAACGCGCTTTTTTTTGATATTGGAATCGATAATTTATGTTGTTTGATAAACAGCCCACCGTGTAATCGTCCACAAATTAAACTGGTGCAACTTTGTGGCAAAAAAGCTGCAAAACGAGAGGTTTTAAATACTGTTTGAGGAAATACCGTGTTAATCGCGTAAAATTACACAAAAAATTGTGTACATGAACAAATTTTTGAATCTCTGGTGGTACACATTTATACTATATGCCTGTAACTGTTGTGATTTCGTAAAACGTGATTTGCAAATGGGCACGTCTGATTACAGTTGCGAATTTGAACACATCTTGTGAGAATGTTTGGGACACCAGCCGTCTTTTTTTTGTGAGCGAAAGCTTTCGAGAAAATCAACATTTTTCCAGAGCTTGCAGTTTCCCGCAAATTGAGTTTATAAATATTCAAATCAGTTTTGGAACAATCAGTTGGAAAAATTTCTCTGTTTGAGCTAGATTTTGGGGAGAGGCCTCATCCTGTAGTGAATGAAAGTATTTTTATCGTAACGTACAATCTAATTTCACTCCACATCCACAAGTTGCGATTAATGCGTAACTTTTAGTTCTGAAATTGAAAATCCAGATGGAAAAGCTTAAGCCACAATAAATTATATAGTTTTACTTAGCTTTCGTTTTTACTGTATTTCACTGAAAATAATTGCCGATGAAAATCTCATTTTTCCTTGCTTGTTTTTATTTATAAAAAATAGGAGGCAAAAAAAAAAAAATTCAGACAAAATAATCTTTAATCATGAAATTTAAAGATAAAAGTTGGATGAAACAACGATTCATTCAATAAAAAAAAAAAAAAAAAAAAAAAAATACAAATAAAGCATCACGCGTTGTGTAAAGCTATCCAGAACCCTCTCTCTCGTAACTCACCCATAATTCAGGCTCGAATACCCTCCCCCCCTCCCCCTCTTGGAGCAAGAGACATTTGGACCACATTTTGCAATTAGTAACTACAATTTCTCCCTTACTTTAGTTTGTAAACAACGTATGCGCCTTTACTTTCCCTACTCGCATGACAGTTTTTATGGACGGGTCAGGAATTGTAGTTCCTAATTGCAAAATGTAGTTCATTTGATGAACGGCTCCAAAAGCTTTTGTTATACCCGTTGACTCATACTAAGATAATACTGCCTTGCTAAGCAAGAACGCCGTAGATCCATCAAGGTTTTCCCGCGTTTTTTTTGAAATTTAACAATTTATAAAATAAAACTTGTTTCACCCAAGCACCTCAGATTTTCAGGATAATAAGTCCTTGATAGTATTTGCGAAAGAATTCAGTAAAAACATTGTCCCAAGGTACACAAGTTTTTCTGCTATGATACATTGTTTCCAAAAAAATTAAAATGGCGTTTACGGCGTTTTTGCGTTGCACGGCAGAGTAATGGATATGTGTTGCGGTTTGCTTCAGATTTGGACGCAATTCCGAAGGCGCATCGTTGGGACGAGACGGAGTTTGAACGGCTTCTCTGGTTGGTCGTCAACATCCCTGCAAGCCGCGACGTGAACGTGACCATGGGGAAGACGCTTGCACCGTACATACCCCCCACCCTCGACCCGATTAAAGGAGGTGAGTTCCATCAAATAATATGGGAAGAAAGATGGTGATGATATGTCGATGTATGAATATGATTTTGTAGAGAGAAAATAGGGTAGAGGAATGGAGAGGAGAGGAACGGGTTGAAGAGCCACTATGCAGAAGGTTCCATTAAATAAACCCCTGACACTCGTGGTTGGCATGGAAGGAAAACGATGGTAAATGCGACTCGGTAATCGGTGTATCGATGGTGAAACTGCAGAAATGGGTATCTCGGTTGCAGCGCACAGTGGATCGAGTTAATAGGAGAAGTCGGACAAAATTTGGAAACTTTAAATGCTTATAACTCCGTTTATACAAAACTTTGAGGTTCTCAAAGTGGCTCCATTGGCTTCCTCGAGAAATTTTCTTACAGAAGCACCCATTGAAATTTTAAATGTGACGAAATGAATATCAAAATTTTCAGTTTTAGTAAAAAAATTTCTCTATCAAATTGACTCTATCCACTGAGCGGCGTTGCAGACTTCCTGTCATTCTTTATTTTTTACATGGGAAACTACATTGGGAAAAAACTCCGGCTGTGAAAGCCGTACTTTCGGGCTATATAGACATCCCGTTCGTTCCGAGCTCAGAGTCCGCAAGTTCTGAGCGTAGCGCCGGGAGCAATTGAAGCTACTTCTCCAGCACCCGTAACTTTCAGCCTCTGAGCCCGAAACAGACGGGATGTCTTTTTCAGTGCACTGAACTTCCATTTTTTTTTTTTTTTTTTTTTTTTTTTTTGATTTCACTAATTTTCCTTCTCTTCTCTAAGAATATTTGGTGAGAACTTCAAGCCATGACGTTGGCTCGGTCACTTCTTATAAAATAAAATAGGAGAGGAAAATTCGAGACACCACAACCGAGATACGAATTTCAGCAGTTTCGCCTTCGATATGGAGTATCCTGATTCACTGCGATTCCAATTCAGATATATCTAAATTTATTAGCCCTATTTTGTACGAACCATTCGAGATTTCAAGATAAATCAGCAATAATAGGAAACACTCAAAACACAAAACACACGGATGCGATTTAAATAGCAAATACACCGATGACCAAAGTTCGAAACCACGAATCTCCTATTGCAACGTTGCAGAGTTTCTGTAATACTAAATTTTTCCTTGGGAAAACTAGTCAACGTGATCACATAAAAATTCCTTAATTTTCCTTCTCTGTTCGCAGACTTTTCTGTAGGGATTTCAAGCTATTTAATTGGATCGTTTCTCTTCGAAAAAAAAAAATAGGAGCGGAAATTGTGAAATACAGCAATTAAGATACTTGGTTCCGCTTTTTTCCAATCGATATATTTAAAAACACGCAGAACAAAAGACCGCCAATGGGTAAAGGGGGAACACAACGAACAAATGGAAAACACAGCAAACATAACATACACACCAAACATAACAAACGCAACACAACACAAAACAAAACGAAACAAGCGAATACAAAAACATCAAACACTGGAAACACACTTTACACACCAACACAATTGAACAAAATGCACTCCTTGGATCCAAGAAACATAGCAAACACAACGAACGCCGCACAGTATAGATCAATTAGAGAGGTCGGACATTATATTTTTGACTAAAACTGCAAATCGACTCCCAAGCTCAAAAAAAGCTCTCAAGTTGAGGCCAAAATGGAGGGGATATCCCATGCTATCCTGACACCTCTACATCAAGACAAACTCTCCATGCAAAGATAGGGAGAGAATACAATGACAGGGCTGCAACTTTATTTGGGGGCTCTAAAACTGAAAAAACGACAACCCTGCTAATGCGTATTTGCTCCCTTTCTTTGCATGGAGAGTTTGTCTTGATGTAGAGGTGGACTCTCAGGATAGCGTGGGATATCCCCTCCATTTTGGCCTCAACTTGAGTGCTTTTTTTGAGCCTGGGAGCTGATTTCAGAGAAAACCAGTGTTATCATCGTGTTTCTCGCGAACTTTTACATAAGAACCAATAATCAAATCGCAAATTCCTCACACATGCAACATCTCCATTGAAAGTCGAAAAACAGAAATTAGTGTGTTAAAAGTGGGGTTCAAGTTTATTTTCTACATTGAGACTTATGCAGGAATAAAATTTCAAACTCCCTTTTCTCAGTTTCAAGTTTATGTGAGTTGGTTTCTTTTTGATGAACTCGGTCCATTTTGTTCTCGTTACTATCCACAAACAATGTACCCAAACATTTAAGAAATCTGTTTTGAATTTGTACGAAATTCTGGTAGCGGAATCAACTATCTATTGATGAGACAGACAAGATACCTATATCCAAACGGCTAATAAGTACACTTATTATTATTAAGGACAAATTGGCGCGGTGGTTGAACTGCCGCTCAGTGGATCGAGTCAGTTAGAGAGGTTGGACATAGCATTTTTGTCGAAAACTGCAAAAGATGTTACTTCATCACATTTTAAATTTTAATAGGTGTTTCTCGAAGAAAATTTTACAAAAAAACCGATGGAACACTTTTAAAACCTTAAAGTTTTTCATGAACGGAGTTATGAGCTTTTAAAGTTTCCAAATTTTGTTCGACTTCTCCATCTCCATCTTGATTCGTTCCGTTGTGTACCAAATAATGGACTCGGCATCAAAGGATGCCTGACATTCAAAATGTCGGAGCGCCTTCAATTTCGCGTGATACTGTGCAACATCTCTGTTGTGAAATAGTTGCTTGAGGCGCCGTGGCATGGCGCAGCGTGCTGCTAGCGCCTACAAACCTAAGGGGATACTTCAAGCATTGTGCAATGCGCGAAGTATCCACTTAGGTTTGTAGGCGCCAGTGCACGTGTTGCGCTGGCAGCACGCCACGCCGCACCGCTCCGCTGTGTTAGGCTCCAATATTTGAACTCGCGGAGCCGGCTGTTTTCAACTCATGATTATAAAATGGTTGCACACTCTGCATGGATTATTCTCATTTAATGTGATGAAAAAAAATATGAATGAAAGGAAACAATAATGGATATTTTGTAAATGTTAAAAAGGAGAAAACCAGTGGCACCATTGTGTTTCTCGCGAACTTTTACATAGGAATTACTAGTCAAATCGCAAATTCCTCACGCATGCAACATCTCCATTATCGTACATCCTCGACATTAAGTCGGACATAAATTTAACACTTAAATTGAGTAACATAACATGAATTAAAAATAACATTAAAATAAAACATTATTGGACTACGTGAATAACGTCGAAAGTGGGTTAACAAATTTTAAATTTTATTCACTTGAACATAAATGCTCTAATACTTTCTATGCCGAACTACTCTCTGATATTGGAATTTCGCGCTTAAGACCTCCCCTCAGCCAGTTTTCTTAGTATTATGTTTTATTGTGCTTCAGTTTGCTTGATGTTAGAGGGTGATGTGCATTGTGCATGCAGGCCTACATCTGACAGCAGTGAACCCAGATTGGCCTTAACATAGATTTATGTAACAAAATTGTATTGTTTAACTTTATTTTAGAATGGCGTCAAAGCAACCTTTTGGTCGTGCATGCTTTTTTCAGTTTACTTTAGATTCCATGATAAGGCCCAGGTATTTTGCTTTAAAAGCATGAGGAATTGGAGCATTATTCGAAACAAGGGATGTGAATACAAACGACCCTAGGGAAAACACCGCATTTTCTGATTTTGAGGGCGCCTTGGGGTAGGTTAATAAATCGATCTGATTATATGACATCCCAAAAAACTTCACCCAAAAAAACTAAAGAGCTGACGCTTAGGCCAAATACGAGAAACAAAAATGCAGGTTGCAAGTCAGTCATGCCAAAAGACCTGGGCTCTGCGTCAATTTCCGTTGAAGACGCTTCCAACTTTAACGAGATTCTCATTGACAGTTCCGAGATATGTAATCCGCATTCGAAATTTCGAACAACCTTTTCGTCGAGTACTTTAAAAATATGAGAATTCTTCAGCACGCGAAAAGTAAATGGATATGAAAAAATATACTCCCCAACCTGGTGAAACTCGAAAATCACCGGATAATCCAAAGGATCCACAAGAAGGTTTTTCCGTGCAACCATGAGCTGAGGGACACTGATTAAAAACGCGTCGGTGTTAAGTAGTGTCAACAGAGATGTCTTCAAAGCGGACGTTGAGTCGAAAATAATTTTATCAGTTTCATTATTTGATTCCTTGATTTTTACGAGTGAGCTCTGACTATTTAAGGTATCGATGTAATCTCTACTTTCCTTAGAGCTATCGTCCAGTAATTCATCATGGATTGACCAAAAGCTGGTGGTCAGTTTCTCTTCCAGTCCCTTATACTCAGGATGTTGACTAAAATATGTGGTGAGCGAATCGGTATCTGGGGTCTGAATGTATAAGGTAGACTGTCTCAACTCCTCAACTGTATCAATGTCTTTGAACCGAACGCGATTGCTCAAGAGTGTGACCATATGACTCTGGTACACTGTCCCAATGATCAATGCTGAAAATGAAAATACCAAGAAGAGGATTTTACCCGTGGAGAGTTTCCCAAGAAGAAGTGTCGGAGGACTTCCACAAAGGAAATAGCCGTAGATTACAAGAAATGCAGAGGTGCTCTCATACGTGCATCTGTTTTGCTCGGTGTAGAACTCGCTAAATATGTTCGATTGAAAATACTGGAAAACCCGCTGCATGAAGACAAATGTAATCACCGTCACAAGAAAAATTACCCACAAGGGTGTGGAGAAACTTCTGAAGACGACTAGGTAGGAGGGCATGAACCCTTGTCGAGGTGCAGCGAAGCACAATACACAAGTTTCAACACCCACTGTGCGGTCGAATTTTGAAAAAGCAGAACCCTTGTAATCCGCCCCACCATTAAATATAATAATGTCTATATCATATTTCTGACCTATTCCGGCATCCAGTGGCATTTCGACTTCTGGCGGCTTCCTGAACATATCAAGAGAGCAGTTTATATCCCGTTGAAGTTGCACCATAGCTTGATCCGAGTAGGTCGTCCATGCTTCAGTGTTAATCAAGCTTATATGCTCGTCGGCATCATCGTGGCTGTATGAATATAGCACAGACTTGCCATGCAAATTTTTCATGGAAAAATCGAAGTAATCTTCCTCTTTGCGACCCTCGTAATGAAGGATCCTCTCTGAGTAGGGATCATGGCGGTAGCACACTTCATCTACGCAGATGACAACTCTCAACCCTCTGAAGAATCGTCAAAACGCTTTAAAACAGACTAATATTGCAGTGCGGGTGAACCGCATCGAGGTAATGTTTGTCACGTTCAATTTTTCACGATTTGCAGATTTTGGAGATCTACTCGACCTCGGAAGGACGAAGATCAAGTGATTTTCGGAGTTCCAAATCGTGTGATTATAGAGATGGCGAGTAAAATAAAAAACTTGGTCTGATAAAACGGAGCCTCTGTCCAATTCTGACATTCTAATGTGTAAAATCAACGATTTTGATGAAGTTGATGAGTCCGAAGATATTGGAACATCAACGGCATCCTCTTCAATCTTTATATCGAAGTCTCCTCGAGCATCTGAATATTTCTGCGCGTATGCAACTCTCCATGGTTCATCATCACTTTGGTTGAAGTAATAGGAAGGGTCGTCGAAAAATGATCCATGGAGAGTTCCATCCTCGATATTTCCACTCGAAGGCTTCAACATCAAGTTGAATATGTCACGGAATTCGTTCAAGAAGAACATCATATTTTTCGGATTGTAATCACGGGTATGTTGGTTTGTAAGTTGTCCAGGATTGGTAATGAGGTACGTTGAAATCCTCATTTCGTGCAGATTTCGAAGGAAGGTATCGGCTGAAAGTTCGGGAACCAGGTTAACTACATGGAAAATCTCTTTCTGCGATAAGTTTACGGTATGCTGACAGGCTTGAAGAGCCAGGTCGATCATATTTGACCTCGGCACTTGGGTTTCAGGGACTTTTCGAAATGGAACTATTTTTCCCAGGGTAAATGTTAATAAAAAAGAACTAACACTGAATGAGATGAAGAAATACATGGTAGAATATATTTAAAATTATGCCTTCAAAAAAAGACGGGATCAGACTGTAATAAATCTTGGAGGAAGTTAAAGCAACATAAAATTACTCCTCGAAATTTAGACTCTATCCTTGTAAGAATAACGCATATCTTTCTTTAAACGCAGAGGAACATTAGGTACCTGAATTAAAGTAAAATTAACGCTGCGTCCTGATCACCGGACTGAAACATATGGACTACGCACCCGTAATGCAGTATACTGCGTGCTTCTAGCAAGAATATCCTATTGCCTGCACTATGTGACGCTCACACTTCACGTGGTTAGTAAAAGGAAAGAAGGGAATCCAATCACCGTTTTGACAAGGAACGAGTGAAAATGTTTTCGGACATATGGACTAATGAGACTCAAGTTTTTCAAGGTTCTTCTGAAACGAGGAAGACAAATAAAAGTCAGTAAATATTATTATTAGGACGTGTTTATTCTAAACTTTAATACGTGTATTCGACAAGGCTGAAGGCACGAGGGAAGGGGATTTGAGGGTTCTTTACGTGCGCCTCCTCCACGAAAGCGACCCACCCTCTCCTAACTAAAGGCATCTAGGAAACGTCGTCTCTTGCACAAAGGAACGTAACTGCATTCCAGGGTTGCCAAATTGACTTGAACAATTAATTTATTTTACGAGGATTTTTTTTTTCTTGAACACAAGTATTTTATTAATACATTTACAGGGTGGAAATACAATTGGACAGAATTGTAGCCGAAGGCCTATGTTTACATACTATATTTTTAAAGCCTACTATTATATTTACATGTTAGTTCCCCCTTTTGAATTTCCCTTAGATACTATATTTAACTATTAACTTCTCGAAGTTCCTCGATCTTTTTAGGGTTGTTGTTACATGTCACTGTTCTCCTCGGTATTACAATCAGGCGTTTCTTCGAGGGAGATTTTACAAGGATTGTACTTGAGCAATTTTTATCAAAAATTTGACTGGTTTTTGCATGAAATCTAAGGAATAATCAATGAAATTTTCAGTTGGAAATGGCCAAGATTCTTCTAGTTAGTATGAAATATGTGGGGGGAAAGGTGACATTGATAACAATTTTCATTCTTTCGCGAGGTAAACGACGAAAATACCACTTCTTTGGAGTTTTTCGGTATTTTAGTGATATATTTAAGACAGAGAAAACTTTGAGGCAAATTCCACATGCTAGAGCTGAAAATAAAATCTTAGTTGAACGTCTCGATTTCCAAATCAGGAAATCCACAAAAACTGACAATTCTTGAGAAATCTTGGAACCAATTGAGCCATGACATCAAAATTAATCTATCAGTATTTCAAGCTTAGGCGACCCCTCCGCAATCCATCGGAAACGAAATAATATTTTTCTTTTTTCATCAAAAAGTTTACTCGACTTCTAAAGTCTCGCAATTTAAGCAAAAAAATTCCATCACTTATTATTCTATTAAAAAAGCTTTGTCCAATGGTAACGAACATTGCTCGTGTTGAAAATTGAAAGCGCTTGTTGTTTCGGCGAGAAATCACACTGAAACATTACGACATTAAGGCTAATGAGGGCCATGGTGATTAGGTAGGCTTTTTTGCAGTGATGAACTGTGCACAAATGGGCCAAACGTGATGTTAGATAGAAAAAATATCTTACATTTTCAGACCACATTTTGCGGGAAAATTACTTTTGATAGAAAGGGTCAAAATTTTTGACTGGTTAGGAAAACTAGTTTCAAATGATGTGCAGAAACATAAGGATAGTGTATTAATGATAGATGAACTTAGTTTTTTTGACTACAGTAGTGAGAAAAATCAGAAAAATCTATTAAATAGGAGCCGCATATCTAAGGATCTGTAATACCATACATAGCGGTAAACGATACCAGTCATTTACTTACCGTAGTGCGCCTTCATTTTCGTCTGATACTGCATAATACTTCCTTGGCTGAATAGTTGCTCAGAGTGCCTTCTTTGCACGCCAGACTTGCCCGTCTTCTTATACGAGGCACGCCCTCTGGTCCAGCTTGTGGCTCACAGGATGTTGAAATATACCGTGCTAACATATTGGTCTTATTCCAATATAGAAATGTGCAGGGTATCCCGGTCAAACTGCTGCTGCTGCACAACATAAGTTCGTTCTTTAGGTTAAAAAATAATGCATCGCCGAGAATTTTTTTTCCTCTAGTGCATTAATACTATTAATTCTCGTTTTTTATCCTGTTTTAGAGGATCATCGGATTCTCTTCATTATATTTGAACAACCTGGCGGCAATATGAATTTCACTTTCCCAGTTTTAGATGCCAAGTAAGTCTCTTCTAGTCGCATTTTTTTCCTTTTGGGTCTTTTTTCTGCTACTTATCTATAATATATGTCTCGTGGTGCATTACCTGACCTTTATTCTACTACTGCCATGCTGAGAGAAAACGCCGCTTATTGGATCGGATCAATGGGAGAGTTCGGACACAATTTGGAAACTTTAAAAGTTCATAACTCTGTTCATATAAAACTCTGAGGTTTTAAAAGTGGTTCCATTGGTCTCCTCGTAAAATTTTCTTTCAGAAGCACCCCTTAAAATTTAAAATGTGACAAATTAAACATCAAATTTTGCAGTTTTAGTTGAGAATTTTATGCCAAACCTCTCTGATTGACTCGATCCACCGTGTGCCGCTCAGTGGATCGAGTCAATTAGAGAGGTTGGACATGGCATTTTTGTCGAAAACTGCAAAAGATGTTACTTCATCACATTTTAAATGTCAATAGGTGTTTCTAGAAGAAAATTTTACAAGAATACCAATGGAACACTTTTAAAACCTTAAAGTTTTTTATGAGCGGAGTCATGAGCTTTTAAAGTTTCCAAATTTTGTTCGACTTCTCCATCTCCAATTGATTCGTTCCATTGTGTACCGAATGATGGACTCGACATCAAAGGATGCCTGTCATTCAATATGTCGGAGCGCCTTCAATTTCGCGTGATACTGTGCAACACTTCTGTGGTGAAATAGTTGCTTGAGGCGCCGCACCGTGGCATGGCGCGGCGTGCCTACAAACCTAAGGGGATACTTCAAGCATTGTGCAGTGCGTGAAGTATCCCCTTAGGTTTGTAGGCGCCAGTCGCCAGTGCACGTTTTGCGCGGGCAGCACGCCACGCCTCCGTATGAGCCTTCGAATGCTGCCAAAATTCCCCTGCTGAGACATTAATTTTTGCGGAAAATTATGAATATCTCATCTTGAAATGTTCACATACTTCAGATCAAACTACGTTTATATTTCTCTCAAAAATTGGAAGAAAAGTAAGTAGTCTCAAATTGGTCTGAAATTGCGAGTTTCAGCAAAAGAAATTTGGCAGCATCCGAGGGATCATAAAGAGTTTTTCCATGGCAAGCCAGGCTATGATCCACTGCCTAAATGGACTAAATGTTGCAATCAGAAACTACAATTTCCGGCTCAGTTCAGAAACGACTCATGCACCGCCATGAGTGTCCCTATGCACATAAGCGTATTTTCAGATGAGTCAGATTTTGTAGTTCCCAATGCATCACTTGCAATGGTCACAGAATCCTGTTTTTATGCTAGATTCTTGTAGATTAGCTAAAAATAAGACCTGCCTACACAAAAACTTTCTACGTTCAATTTTAACCGAAATATTGCGATTTGAAAACCTGTTTATGACGTCATGCACCGCGGTAGGAATACCCTTGTCTTGGTTTCTTCCACCTCACTTTCATCCAAGTTTCCCGTTGAGTATTCAGCGCAACCGTGTGACTCGCTGACTGACGAAAGCAAGGTGGAGGAAACACAAAGGTGTGACTGCCGCGGTGGATGACGACATAAACAGACTTTTTCAAAGCGTGATATTTCATTAAGGATTGAACGTTGAAAGTTGGTGCTTGGACAGATCTCATTGTTACTAGCAGATCCACTAGAGTCAAGCATCTAAACACGATTCACGAAAAAAATGTATTGCTGATTTAAATTGTTAAAAAATATGTCCGACATGATTCAAATGTTCATTTTACAGTAGTGGAACACTAATTTTTCTGTGACGGTGGTGAAATTAGCATTTTTCCATTGTAAAATCCACATTGGAAAATGTCGGCCCTAGTAAAAGTGAGTCAGCCTGATGTCAGACTTTGTTTATTAAACTACCCTGAGTCGGACTGATTCAGGCTGATATCAGACGGAATCAGTCTGACATCAGTCTGAATCGATCAGACTCAAGGTATTATATGAAACATAGTCTGACGTCAGACTAAATCACCTTTACTAGGGGACACTTTGCTTGATAAAAAAATTGCCAAATCAGCAATTTAATTTTTTTCCGTGATTTTTGACCAGCGCAACTGACCCATTTCAAAATGCAGTCAAAATATCTCATACGCTTTTTTTTTTTTTTTTTTTTTTTTTTTTTTTTTTTTTAAAGGCCGGACGACCCGCGACGGACGGAATTCAACGTCCATAAATTCGTAGATGAGCATAAACTGGATCTCCCGGTGGCGACCAACTTCTACACGACGCGAGAAGGACTCCTGGAGGCAGAGAAGGCGGCCGCTAAAAAGAAGCCCAAGATGACCCTCAATGACACGGAGGGCGTCAAGGACGTCAAAGACGTCAAAGACGTCAAAGGCGAAACCACCACCATCGTCTACCTCGACGTCACGGCCGAAAGGTTCAACCCCCACGAAGAGGAAGAGGACGAGATGGAGATTGAGGTTGAATATTAGCAGAGCCTCCCTCGTGCTTACACGGAGAGGGAAGGATCGGCACTCTTGTAATCTGCCGTACTAAGGTAAAACACCGTATGAACATTCGAGAGTTGCCAAATTTCCTCCTGTAAAATGTTAATTTTTCAGCAGAGTTAAGAATATTTTCCTTTGAAATTCTCAGATAATATAAATTGAATTGTGATTGAAATTCTGTAAGAAATTGGTAGAAAAATATCCACGAGTTTTCCAGAAATTTTGCAATTTAACGAAGGAAATTTGGCAACGCCTGAAGGCTCATACGGCCTTTTTCCTTAGCATGGTAGTAATGCTTACAGTCAATTCTAGGTCCTATCAACTTTTCTCCTCGTAGTTTCGATAGAAGCATCGTTGAAGTCAACATAATACTGCCGCGCTAAGCAGTGGCGAGGCGTGAATGATCGATTATCGATATTTCCCCATTTGAAGCTGTGTCAAAGAATCGATTATTAAGGTGTTCGTTGCGTACACCCTGACTATCGATTCCTTTTCCATAGGTTTAAATGGCAGATAAATCCATACATCGCAAAGAGCGCCACGCCACTGCCGCATGCCGTGCTAAGGAAAACACCGTACACGCCTTCGGACGTTGCCTCTTTCCTTCAATAAAAAACAAATTTACTGAGAACATTGCGAATATTTTTCTTAAATATTTTCAGAACATTATGTCCGCAATTTAACCTGAAATGCCTGAACATTTTCAAGGGAAAACATGCATGACTTTCTCAAAAATATATTTTTATCCCGGGAAAATGTGGCAACTCGCGGATACGGGTTCTTCTGTAGCACGGCAGGATGGGCTTACAAAAGCTCTTAGCGGCAAAAAAATCGATTCTCATCGAATTAAGACGTGTATATCTAAAACTTCGGAAGTTTTTCACCCAGGTAACGCATATTTCATTAAATTGCGATTATATGGCAAAATCGGGTTACATTTTGCAATAAAGAACCACTATTTCTGGCCAATTTTAGAAACAACATACATGCCATTGGGTTTCCTATGCAGATATGTGCCTTTATGGGAGAGCCAGAGATAGTGGTTTCTTATTGCAAAATGTAGTCCAATTATTGCTACTGTATCGGAGTGGTATGTACGTTGCCTATCTTCTGATTGAAGGGGCTCCTCTTGTTGAAATTCATTGCAATGAAAGTAATTGGATTAGGTACATTTTGCAATAAGGAACCACTATCTTCGGCTCCTCTACAAAAGCACCTTTTTGTATAGGGAAACCAATGGCATATGTGTTGTTGCTAAAGCTCTTAACGGTACATAGACTAATTTTCATCGGATTTAAGGACGTGCACGTTTAAAGATTCTGGAAGTCTTCCACTTAATATTCAAATCAAATCTACACACGCCTCCTGTTATTAATATCGGGCTGAGACCGCAATAATTTGTTACCGCGAAAGTAACAATGTAACCTCGGCTAGAAAATCTGATAGGATCTGGGATCCACTGTGGTAGGATTTTAAGCATTATGAATCTTTTTAGTGATCCGTGATATAGTCCGGTAGTTATGCGCGATAGCTTTTACCATGTACAGTGTAAAATAAAACAAAATTTCACAAACGGGTCAGAGTTTTGAATTTGTAAATTTTTTTGTGAGAATATAATACACGTTTACATTTTCGTGAGAAAACAGTTTTTTTCCCCCCTTTTTTTTCAGGTTCATAGACTCGTGATCATTTACGGGCAAAGGAACCTCAGTTCACAGAGGATACATTTTCAAAAGAGTAATTTTTGGCGAGTCGGATAGAAAATTTACCTTTGGAAAGTTCAACTAAAAATGTTCGCTCGTTGGTTTAAGAATATGAAGTATAACTATTTCCGTTCAGTCCTGTACAAGTGGTTGGCAAAGTTGCGTAATATTCCGGCGGTTTCATACCCTAAACGAGGTGGGTTAGAATTATGAACTACAGAATCAGACCAACATACACGATAAAAACAACTTAGTTCTAAAAAGGCTGCAACAAAGAGGAAATATTTTATAAAAAAACTGGGGATTTTTGAGTACCTGTTACAACTTTGCTTTTAAGTGGCCAAAAAACAAAAAAAAACAAAAAAATTATAATCTTTCGAAACAAACCGATCCTTAAATGTTCCCGTTTTTTGTAAGTATCCCCCGGAATAAATTGTCTTATTGCGGATTAGACTTTTCACCGGATTTTCCTCGAAAAAAATATTTTGAACTACAAACTTCAAAACGCCATATTGCAATGATTAATACTTCTATGCAGAATATCATAACGAGTCATGCTCATAATTTTTAGGAGTGATCAGTAAAATCCACTCCCTGCAACTCGATAGTATCCCAGAAGTCTTAGAGGTATACCGATACTTTTGGCAAAGGCTCCTCATCTTCAATGCTGCTTGTTACGAAATTTGTTTACGACTGTCCTCTGGGGGCAGTTTTTTGAGTTTAATGTCATCAAAAGCTATCGACATAAACGAGTCATATGTGTCTCTAGGCGCTTGGGTAGCACTTTCACACACAGTGGTCTTAAAGCAAAAAAATGCGACATAAATGTACCCAAAAACGGTTTGCAGGGGGTGAGTCTATGGTACGTGTGGACTTAAAATCATGGAAAATCAAATTCTTGGCTGATCCTAATTTCGAGATACCGCAATTTGAAGTTTTCATGGTGAATCCAAGTTTTCTGGTGGTTTTGATCAGCTTTTTTATTTATTTATCCTTGAAATCTATGTTGATCGGTTCGCGTTTTAACTCTTTGTTCGATTCATTTCGATCAAATACATGCCATTTCGTTACATGCAGACTTCCTATCATACTCTTTTTTTAACTGAACAATTCGCCTTCTGCTGCATCTGCAGCAATTGTTGTTACGAATATGTTGTACGTGCTGTTGCTAATTACATACTCGACTTTCTGAAGGCGTTTTTTGTGCACAAGTAGCGCAATCTGTCGGAGGACGAACGAAAAAGGGATCAATGGATTCGTTCAATCTCACTTCTATTGTTCTCCAACAGGGTGCTCTACTCTCGCACATGAAACGCCTGCGAAGAGTCAAGTATGTAATGAGGTGAGATCAGCACGCACAACATATTCTTAACAACAATTGCTGCGGACGCAGCTGAAGGCGAATCGAAAACAACCTGGAAACAACGAGTTTGTAGGAGGACTTTTTAGGACTGAAAATTTGTAACGCGATATAATTTATTTTGCATGTAAACTTAGTTTATGCTTTATTTTACACAATAATAAAACAAATTACACAGCGGATAACAAGGCAAATTTTCACGTAAATATTACCAGACAGTTCAAGCCAAAAACTTAGCCTTCCTTGGTTGGATAAAATAGTAAATATTGGAAAAAAACTAATAACGTACTAATAACTAATAACAGTACTTGGTTGTGCCTTTCAAAGTGAGAACAATGTTGTTATGCAATGTGAGGGAAGACTATTCTCTCCGGAGTGACAAATATTTTCGCCAGAGGGAATCTCGGGAGGGACAACTATTTCCTGGGGAGTGATATGCGTTCTCTCCAGAGAGTTATCTATCCTGAGAAAATAGTTTTCCCTCCCGAGAAAATAGTTTTCTCTCCCGAAAGAATAGTTTTCTCTTCCCAAGGAATAGTGTCCCCTCCCGAAAAAATAGTTATCACTCCCGAGAAAATAGTTTCCTCTTCCCAGGGAATAGTTTCCCGTCCCGAGAAAATAGTTATCACTCCCGAGAAAAAAGTTTTTTCTCGTATTTTCCGTCATTTTATCGAATGAGAGAGTACTTTCAAATTGATCTCAATCATGATAGGGAGCCACCATGCCGGTACAGAGTCAAACGAAATTAGTCATTGCATAACTCGCGATGGACCATGTTCAAACGTTAAGGTGCTTCCCCGGCTATACAGTACATAGAACACATTAATAAGTGTGCAAAAATGTTGAGATTTTATTATTCTCGGAAAATGAGTCATTTGTGTGCGCGACATAAACTTATTTTTGGTGATATAAATATTTTCATACGGCCAGCAATAAATATCTAATACTAGGTTTCAAGTTTCAACATCAACAGGTCTATCGCCCAAAGGAAAATTGACTTCAGGCTCCACAAACATCAAGGAACGATGTTCGTTAGTTCTTCAAAATTGAAATGGCTCGTAGGAGTGCTGAGAGTGATGTGCGGGTTGCTGGCCGTCTCGTATGCAGGCGCCAACATCGCCGGAAAACTCAAGATAGCGCTGCTGAAACACGGTATCATCCCGGATATCATAACACAGGCACCTAAATTCGGTATCTACGTAAGACCACCCACCTTCTTCTTCTGTTTAGATCCCCAATTTACTATCTAGAGAGAGGTAAAAGCAGACTACTCTTCTAATTTCCGTAAATTTTTTTTTGTCAGAAAAGGAGAAAAATGGAAGTAAAACGATAAAAGTCTTTTGGAAATTTAGAGTTTTTGCATGCATAGAATATTTCGCCGCTCATATGGTCGGTTTTGACTGACAGCTTCATAAGTATTTGCTCTATTCGTATTGCTAAAATAAAAGAAAAACCCCATGGTTTGCATCTCACCACACTGGGAACGTCAATCCACGTGTTATTTGAGGGACAGTATCTTTGGCAAAACTGGACGTAATTCTGCCTAACGTAACTTCTATAGACGAGGGGGAAAGATGGGGTGTGCTCCGGAAAAATGCATAAGAAACAATGTGAAAGTTGGCGCGATTCCTTTTGGAGAAATCGAAAAGCAGGATTTTACATTCTGCCAAACGAAACTATGTGCCAACTGAATGCGGTACTCATGAGCCATGGGAATGTGACAAGAGCGTTGTGGACATGGCTCATGAGTTAATTAATCACACAGGAGCCTTGCGGCGCCGGCTTCATTGCCGTTTTGACGTCACTGGCGTTTTATAATTCCCATTCATTCTTACGGCCCTCGATTTACGAGCACACCCCTTCTTTCCCACCTGTCTCCGGTTCCGTTCGGCAAAAAACGTCCAACTGAAAATTTCAAGTTATGCGTTTGGACAAAGGCTATATTAGCCATTCATGTGCAAAGTCTTAGCCATCAAAACACGATCCCATGATTAGTGTTACTGGCTCACTCTAATTTTGAATGTCATAATGTAGCTTATAATTTCGATTTCCTGCGAATGAATTATATTGTCAAATTTTCATATGATATATACTACACGTCTATTCTGCACGTCTTGACGTGTCTTTAAATGAAGCATGTATGCATCCCGCGGGGTGATTATTGAAATTGATGGACAAAGCTGTAGATAAAGAAGACAAACGAAAAAAATAATGATCCTATTGGTCGAAACGGATGGTTGTTACGGACGAAGAGAGAAGATGATGGACTATGTATACGGTTTCTTGTGGGTTGCCTTCAGCCACTTTAGTACTTACCGTCTTTGTACATTACAACCAACCGCTTCCACATACAAAATCGCTCATTTTTCGCTCTGTCCTCTTTGTCTATCGCTTTGTCTATTACTTTCAAAATTCAGCCCGCTGACTACAAGGATAAAGTCGCGCTGAATTGCATGTTTTCGACTGAATGAAGTTTTGTTTTCAGATTGCCTTCGGGAAAAAGATGACGGCCAAGTTTGGAAACTTGCTGCCGATAGAAGCTGTTGATAAGCCACCGACTGCCATAAAATGGAAGGCACGTGAGGATGCTGTATACACACTCATCGCTTTGGGTGAGTTCGAACAATTCATTCCAGCAGTTACAAAATACAGAGTCCACCATGCGAAGAGCCTGCTCCCCAAAATTTATGTATTTCAAACTTCTCAAACTTTCACCGATTTTTCATCGATGTGTAGAGGATGCTTTAAGAAAATTTCAAGCATTACCTAAAGTTGATTTTTTAACCCTCTTCTCTTAGCCCTTGACTCATGGCGTGTTCTATCCATGCCCTGGTAAAAATTGGCAGTAGAATCTGGGTTCCAAAATACCATAGACCTACGGCCGGCTGTAAGATTTCCAATAGCTTCTAGAGCCGGCTACACAATTTCTTAGAGTCTTTTATAGCCGATGGCGATTAAGCAACTTACAGCCAGGCGATAAAGTGTATGCTAAACGTCACTAATTACGGATACTAGGACTTGGTGAGTTTTTGGACCACTGCTTTCTTTTTGGGCCGTAGTATCTTGATTTATTTTCCGAGGATAGCTCCGTACTTTTGATGGATGCCTGCCATTCCTAATATATTAGAGTGCCTTCAGTTTCGTATGATACTGTGCAATACCTCTGGTGTGAAATAGTTGCCTCAAGCGCTGTGGCACGCTGCGGTGCGGCAGGCGGGCAGCCAGCGTGAAACGCGCCAGGCGCCTACAAACCCAACAGGGATACTTCACGCATTGCGCAACGCGTGAAGTATCCTTGTTAGGTTTGTAGGCGCCGGTGCGTCGCCGCTCCGCTTTGTGTTAGGCTCTAATATTTAATCTGGCGGAGTCAGCGTTATTCAACTCATGATTTTGAAATGTTTGCAAATCCTGTATGGATTATTCTCGTTTTAATTGATGGAAAAAAAAAAAAAATATGTATTAAAGGAAAATATACCGTGTATTTTGTAAATATGAAGGTGGTTCCGTATCAAACTTAATGATTTCCAAAGCACACAAATTTCTACACAATTTCTTATCGCCTTTTATAATCGATGGAGAAAAAGCAACAGGCAGGCGATAAAGTGTAAAGCCCGGCGATAGGAACTATAGCCCAGCTGCATAATTTTTTATCGCTTCGTATAGCCCGGCCGTATGATTTTCTCCGCACTCTACAGCCAGCTATATGATTTTCTGTAACCTTCTTTAGTCGGCTATAAGAACTCCTATGGTATTTTGAAACGCAGCTCCTATCGCCAATTTTTACCAGGGTAAAGTTGATTTTTTAACCCTCTTCTCTTAGCCCTTGACTCATGGCGTAAACTATCCATGACACATGCATATTATTCTTTATTGAGAATGGTCCAATACAAATATTATTTACAGAGGGAGGGTGAACATATTTTTGACTGAACTGAACTCCAAAGTCCGATTTACCTGCCCAACTTGACACACGTGGCTCCCCTGAAAAATTTGCCTCTGTGCTTTGAGATTCCTCCTCCTTTTGATGGTGATGCGTTTACGGATATTTCCACGTGAAAATCATAGATTTGTGTTGCGGGTTGCTTCAGATTTGAACGCTACTCCGAAGGCACATCAAACGGACGAAACGGAGTCGGAGCGGCTTCTCTGGTTGGTCGTCAACATCCCTGCCCCTGGAAGTGACGCGGTGAAAGTAGCCGAGGGAAACACTCTCGCACCGTATGTCCCTCCAAGCCTCGATCCAATCAAGGAGGGTAAATTCAATCAAATAATACGAACAAATTGCATAAAATCAGATTTTTAAGTACCTCATAAGATAACGTAGATTAACGTACGTTTTACGTTATTTTTACTTCCTTCTGAGGACGTTTTTGCAGAGGAAAGGGAAGGTCAGCCGCTCTCTTCCATCATGCAATCTGTTTTGAACAAGAAAGGAGGGAGGTGGAGGGTCTTAAAGGTCCTAAAAACATCATTTTATGTTTTGTTTTGTTCTTATAAAAAGTGACGGAACCGAGCGTAAAAGTCGAAGAGCAAGGATAATAGGTGGCAAAGCGTCGCGCTTTTATCAAGATCAAGGATTATGAGAATGATTGAAATAAGCGCGGCGAATGGGATACAAATCTACGTGCTCCCAAGTCGAGAAATTGCCTACCCTTGCGCAGTGAAGGCGGACTGAGGGCGCAACGCCGCACGGTGGATCGAGTCAATGGGAGAGGTCGGTCATGGAGCGTTGCGCTTCCAATGTTACGAGGATAACGAATATTCCTGGTCATTTGATCGATTATGTACCACATGTCTCATGTAATTTTTCGCGTAGAATTCATTTTTGATGTTATTTTTGGTGAACAACGTACCTGAAGACCCGTATTTGTGCATTTTGTCGGGAAAACTATACAGGTGCAAAGTTTAGGCGTCTGTGTTTTACTTCGTAGGACGGAGTTTTTAATTTTTCATGATGGAAGAGGATAAATTATGAATAAAATTATGAAAACTTACTAATAAGTGTCACAAATACGCAAAAATATCTCCCCAGTTATGAGCTGCTGCATCAGATAAATCATTCCCTTCACTGCAAAGTTAATTTTGAAACTTTGTCATAAGATATCATTCTTATGCATAAAGATCGGTGAGAAAACAAATGAAATACATTTATGAGTTCTTTGAAAATATTCAAGATCACTTTTACTTTAAATTCATATTTACATTCAGATGACGAAACAGGGACTTAGAGTAGGAAAAACACTAGATGGCTAGAAAAAAAAAAGAAAAGAAAAAAAAATTTAAACATGTAACAGTCATCTGTCATTTGCTTCTCCTTATTCTTCTTCTTCATATTCAGTTCCCCATCACTCTCATCCTCGTCTTCCGCTCTCAAACCGCATCACACTTAAAAAACAAGCAACGCAAAAAACCGCAAAAATTCCAAAATTTCCCCGACTTGTAACGTTAAAACGTACTCGCAGTGTAATTAGTTTCGCACTAACTGCACTTTGTTTACATCGAAATAGGTGAAAAATTAAAAAATATGTACGTATTTGAAAGAAGCATCAGTTATCAGAGTTCACCAGTGACCGGTCGCGCGCGATCGCGGAGGCCAACAAATAAAATGGCATCATAGTCAGGGGCCAGGCAAGTAAAGGGGGGGGGGTTACCTGCTAAAAGTTTCCTCAAGCTAGATATCTACGCATACGTCCCAAAAAAGCTTTCTATAAGGAATATAAAGGGATGTCCGAGTGAAAATATGCCCGATTTTTTTTTTAGTTCTCCTATAGATATGTAGTTTAGGAAATAATGAAAATACGAAAAAGGAGCCAAAGAGCACGTCTTGATGGTGAAACTTGTTTTTCAGTTTCTGATGAACAGGAATCATACCTACCTGGGTCATTTAGCAGTTACGAGAGTTCACTGGTCGCTTGATTTTCGAGATAAAGCTCGCGCGCAATCTCGGAATGCAACAGATAAAGTGACGTCACGGCCAAAGTGGCGCAAAGTGGCACCCAAATTTTGCGGGATCGTATTCTCAGGACTCCTACGAACATGCCTATACAAATTTTTCTGGCGGATGGTGGAGGATGGGTAGTTAAAAGTTTACCGTAACTTTTTTTTTTTGCATTTTGATATAAGCACATTAGTGCAAACATAATCATTGAAAAAATAGGCCGAATACAAAAAATTTTTAGTCCAATGTGTTCTTCAGACTCTGGGAAATAAGAATATGTCAATGAAACTAGCATTAATTTAAACAGAAGCAAGCTAAGTGCCGCGGCAGCTCACCGGTCGCTTGATTTTCGAGATAAGGCTCGCGCGCAATCTCGGAACGCAACAGAAAAAGTGACGTCACGGCCAAAGTGGCGCAAAGTGGCACCCAAATTTTGCGGGATCGTATTCTCAGGACTCCTACGAACATGCCTATACAAATTTTTCTGGCGGATGGTGGCGGATGGGTAGTTAAAAGTTTACCTAAACTTTTTTTTTCCGCTTTTAGAGATGAGCACATTAGCGCAAACATAATCATAGAAAAAATGGGCCGAATACAAAAAATTACTAGTGCAATGTGTTCTCCAGACTCTGAAGAACAAGAATATGTCAATGAAATTAGCATTAATTTAAACAGAAGCAAGTTAAATGGAATAGAAAGACTCGGGCGATTTTTCGCTAAAATAAAAAGTTACGCAAAGCCCCTCTTTGATGCCTTCGGTCACAAAAATGAACATGTTTCGTTCCAAATCAATGTCAGATCCTTAAAATATAACTCTTGAGGAACACTTTTGACCCTTAAAAAATGCGATTCGCCCGAATCGCCCATGACCGACCTGTACCATTGACTCGATCCACCGTGCGCCGGCACAGCGGTGAAAGGACGGAAATTCGGATTATGTCGTTTCTGAAATTAGCGGAAAAGTTTCCTCCTGCTAAACTAGGTCAACATTTTAAAGTATCTATTTCACTGAGTANATATACAATATCCCACAGAATTTCACCCAGGAAAATTAAAAAGCTAGCGCTTAGGCCACTTGCGAGGAAGAGAAATGCAGGTTGTAAGTCGGTCATGCCAAAAGGCCTTGGCTCTTCGTCATTTTCCTCGGATGATGGTCGCAACCTTAAAAAGTCTGTCATTTCGACGAGTTGAGTGTTTGTCGTCGAGTTGAGTACTCCCCCTTCGAAAAGTTGAGTGACTTTTCGGTCAAGAAATTTAAAATAAATAGTGTTTTTCAGCAAGCGATAGGTGAGTGGGTACGTTAATATATACTCCCCAACTTGGTGGAATTCGAAAAAGTCACGAGTTTTTAAAGGAGCCAAAAGAAGGTTTTTTTGTGAAATCATGAATTGAGGGACGCTGATTAAAAAAGCGTCGTTATCAAGTAGCGAAAATAAAGATCTTTTCAAAGCAGATGTTGTCTCCAAAGAAATGTTATCAGTTTTATGCATCGATTCCGCGTCGTCTACGTGCAGGATTGAAATATAATCAAAACTGTCAAAGTCTCTTGATTTCTTCTCGTTCTGGCTCAGATATTCATCATGCATTGACCAAAAGCTGGTGATTAGTTTTTCCTCCAGTCCTTCATACTCTGGATGTTGACCAAAATATGTGGTGAGCCGATCGATATCTGAGGTCTGAATGTATAAGTTAGACTGCCTCAACTCTTCAACGGTGTCGATATCTTTGAACCGAACGCGATTGCTCAAGAGTGTGAACATTTGACTTTGGTACACTGTCCCAATGATCAATGCTGAAAACGAAAATACTAAGAAGAGGATTTTTCCTGTGGAGTGTTTGCCGAGAAGAAGTGTCGGAGGACTTCCACAAAGGAAATAGCCGTAGATTACAAGAAATGCAGAGGTGCTCTCATACGTGCATATGTTTTGCTCGGTGTAGAACTCGCTAAATATGTTCGATTGAAAATACTGGAAAACCCGCTGCATGAAGACAAATGTAATCACCGTCACAAGAAAAATTACCCACAAGGGTGTGGAGAAACTTCTGAAGACGACTAGGTAGGAGGGCATGAACCCTTGTCGAGGTGCAGCGAAGCACAATACACAAGTTTCAACACCCACTGTGCGGTCAAATTTGGAGAAACCAAAGTCTTTGTAATCCGCTCCGCCAATGAATAAAATGATGTCGATATCGTACTTCTGACCTACTTCGGTATCCAGTGGATGTTCTACTTGTGGTGGTCTACTGAAAACATCAACAGAACAGTTCATACCGTATTGTAGCTGCTCCAAAGCATCTTCCGCGTAGGTTATCCACGCGACTGTGTTCACTAAGCTCACATATTCACTTGCGTCGTCGTAGCTATATGCCAAAACCACAGACTTGCCATGCAAATTTTTCATGGAAAAATCGAAGTAATCTTCCTCTTTGCGACCCTCGTAATGAAGGATCCTCTCTGAGTAGGGATCATGGCGGTAGCACACTTCATCTACGCAGATGACAACTCTCAACCCTCTGAAGAATCGCCAAAACGCTTTAAAACAGACTAATATTGCAGCCCTGGTGAACCGCATCGAGGTAATGCTCGTCACGTTCAATTTTTCACGATTTGCAGATTTTGGAGATCTACTCGACCTCGGAAGAACGAAGATCAAGTGATTTTCGGAGTTCCAAATCGTGTGATTATATAGATGGCGAGTAAAATAAAGAACTTGGTCTGATAAAACGGACCCCCTCTCCAATTCTGACATTGCAATATGTAAAATCAACGATTTTGATGGAGTCGATGAGTCCGAAGATATTGGAACATCAACGGCATCCTCTTCAATCTTTATATCGAAGTCTCCTCGAGCATCTGAATATTTCTGCGCGTATGCAACTCTCCATGGTTCATCTTCACTTTGGTTGAAGTAATAGGAAGGGTCGTCGAAAAATGATCCATGGAGAGTTCCATCCTCGATATTTCCACTCGAAGGCTTCAAAATCAAGTTGAATATGTCACGGAATTCGTTCAAGAAGAACATCATATTTTTCGGATTGTAATCACGGGTATGTTGGTTTGTAAGTTGTCCAGGATTGGTAATGAGGTACGTTGAAATCCTCATTTCGTGCAGATTTCGAAGGAAGGTATCGGCTGAAAGTTCGGGAATCAGGTTAACCACATGGAAAATCTCTTGTTGCGATAAGTTTACGGTGTGCTGACAGGCTTGAAGAGCCAGGTCGATCATGTTCGACCTTGGTCCTTGGGTTTCAGGGATTTTTAGAATTGGAACCAGCTTTCCCAGGCTAAATGTTAATAAAAAAGAACTAACACTGATCGAGATGAAAAAATACATGGTAGAATATATTTAAAATTATGCCTTTAAAAAAAGACGGGGTCTGACTGTGAGAAAGTTAAAAGCTTGGAGAGATATCAAGCGCAATAAAATTACTCCACAAAGTTTAGTTTATATCCTTGCAAGTATGGCATATAACTTCGTTAAAACGGATGAAAATTCCTCGAGTTGAGATCTAATTTACACCACAAACTTATCAATGGGCCCAAAATCAAAGAATACGTACCTCTGGTGCAGTCAGTCACTATATTCCGTCAAAAATCTCCTCGCGGCTGGTCTGTGAGACGCTCACGTTCAAACGAACAGCCATTACCATTCCGACAAGGAAAATATATACTTAAGAGTATGTTCGGAAATCGCGTTTGACTCTGATTGAACTTTTTACAAGTTCCTTTTTTGACACGATGATGGGATTCCGTAAATGTTATGTTCAAAACACGTCTCTTCAGAATGTGACACGTGTGTATGAAATGGAGAAGTATACACTTGTAAATTTTTCCACCGACATACGCTCATCGTCCTTGGGTATTTCCCTGCATTTAAGGTCCACCTTAATGTGCAGCAAATTGTCTGAAGTAATTTCACCATGAACACTAAAACGGCATGAATTCGTAATTATAATCATCCTTTCAACTTTCGAGTCTCCTCAAGCTACAGTAATTCTATGCATATTTCTACATTTATGCAGGCACTTTAGAGAGCGTCTATTTTGAGGCAAAACGGCTATGATGCCGGGCCACGGCCAAAGATTCTACATGTAATTATGCCAACTGCTTTGTCATTAAAGAGGTATCATTAATAATTGAAGGCGATTTTTCTGCCGCTTTGAAATTGCGAAGAGAATATGGCCATCGTATAGGTATACTTTTTTAACGTACATAGGCTGTCCCAAAAGTACCCGGACTGGTTCTGTAACTTCAAAACTACGATAGATACAGACATGCACTTGATTTCATTTGAAAGATTAACTCAATTTCTATCGATTGAGACCAAGATCAGCTCAATCGAATAAAAATTGACCTAGTTATGGCAATTTGAAATCCATGAGTAAAGTTTACCCCTACGGTTTTTAAGGAAGATTTCTCGCTTACCAGGATTCAAAAAGTTAATCTTTGTTTCCGCTTTCCTCCGAATCTTCCATAACTTCCTTTTGCTTTTCAAAATACCGGCCATTAAACCGGATGCACTTACTCATGTGCTCTTGCCACTTCTCTAACATTGTTTTCCTGAATTCTTTCCCTGGGATGGAGTTGAGAAAGTTCTGAACTGCATTTTGGATTTCGGTCCTCGATTCGAATCTTTGTCCAAGCATTACATGGAAGTTTTTGGATGAGAACTCAATACCAGAACATACTTTTAGATATCAATATCGTCGATGAAGAATCTGCCTTAAAAACCGTAGGGGTAAACTTTACTCACTGATTTCAAATTGCCATAACTATTATAGGTCAATTTTTATTTTATTTCGCTGATCTTGGTTTTAATCGATAGATATTGAGTTGATCTTTAAAATGAGACCAAGATCATGTCTTTGTCTATCATAATTTTGAAGTTACAGAACCAGTCCGGGTGCTTTTGGGACAGCCTATGTATATACGCTTTAACGTATACTTACATTGGGAATCTCTACGTATCAAAATAAGACTCCGGACGCCCCCCCCCCCTTGGCTATGGTGCTGATGGGGAAGGCTCCAGGACCATGAAATTCAGATTCCTCAATGTTTCTAAAGTTGAAAGTACGATTTAATTTAAGGCGATTATTGTTTTTTCTGTGAGAGAGGTCTCAATTCATGCATCGAAACACATTATTATCTAGGTTAGGAGTTACTTACGGTAATTTTTGCCGCACAGCTCGTGTGCTAAGTGACATTTTGTCGGGGAAACATACGTGCTAAGGCTCGAACTCGCTCTTTGTCAAGTGGTCCATCAAATAAATAAAATATCGACAGTGAAACTACCAAACCACATATCTTGATTTAGGACGGTGTAGACTTCCTGTCAGACTTTATTTATTGAATGGAAAACTACTCAACGTCAATTCTTGAGAACTTCCGTGTTGTTTCCTTTCCAAGAGAGGGGAACTCGGTAAAAATTTCAGGAAATAATATCGATTTGCTCTTCTTCAAAAAAATAAAATGGGAGCGGAGATTTCTTAGACCGCAAACAAGATACGTGGTCTTGAAAGTCAGTTCTTGAAAACTTTCGTGCTTTTTCCTGTCCAAGCGAAGAAATCTCGGTAAAAATTTCAAAAAATGACATTGATTTGCTATTCTTAAAAAAATGAAATGGGAGCGGAGATTTCTAAACACCGCAAACGAGATACGTGGTCTAGTAGTTTTACCGTCGATATTTACTTATTACTTAGAGCCTGCAGAAAAAATGCGCCCACTTTTATCGTGATCGTCGACGGATTTGATCGATTTGCCTTGGAAGTATCCTGATCTGTGTCCGTAGGGACATCCCAAAAATCAAATTATAGACAGGGCTGCATCTTTTAATCCGACGCATTAAAATTCCGGACTGGAACCAACTGGAAATCAACCCGACCGGAAATGTGTTCCAACCCAAAATTTGGTTCTTCTCGGATGCAGAATAACCAATTTCAATACCAATATATCATCGATTTTCCTAAAAAATAGCAAAAATTCCATTTAAGCGATATATTGACTCGTTAACGTTAAAACCGATTCTACAAGAAAAAATACGTAAGGGTCGGTGTACTACAATCATATTAGGTGCATTTAGTCATCCATGAATTAAAAATGAACAATTTCAATCTCAAAAAATCGTCGATTTTCCGTGAAGAATTTTAAAAAATCGATATAACCGATCGATATATCGACTCGTCAACATTAAAACTTGATTTTGCGTTCAAAAAAACGTAGGAACCGGTGTGTATAACATATGTAAACAACGATAACAACCTCGTAGACACATCAATTCAACAAGAAAATAGCGAAAAATAAGGCCGGAGTTTGACCCCTTAGGCCCCCTCCCCCCCGTAACTCGAAAGCGGTTCCTTTACTCATCTTGAAATTGTTTCCTGAGTTTTCTGTTATTATAAGCTTCCACTTAAACGTTGGTTCGAGGGTCGAATCGAATACCGAAAAAGGGGGGAAATTTCGGGAGGCTCTTTCGACTGTGTAAGTCTGTAATCACGTTGCTCGTTTGCAGTGTTAGAAAATGTCCGCTCTTATTTTGTTTTTTTTTTAAAAAATAAAAAATCGACACAATTTCTTGCATTTTTGCAGGATTTTCTTCGCACAGGGAAGAAAAATCATCGCAGTTTTCAAGAATTATTGCTGTTGAGTATTTATCCATTTAAAAAATAAAGTATGACAGGAGGTCCACATCGTCGCAAACCGAGGTACATGGCTGCGGACTTACACCGTAGATTTAAGCACGGTCTTATTTCTTCTGCTGAAATCATGTTGCTCTAATACAGTTGTTTTCTCCTTAGGTTCACTCTTGGAGTAAAGAAGAGGATAATAAATGAAAATAAAATCATGAGCGTATATCCAAACGCAATAAAATATACGTCAGAATTAAGTATATCTAAATAGGCCAGGTCAATGCACCATTATCACCGGAAGTCTCGCTTGCACTGAAACAGATTCTCGCCTTTAAAAAATGAAAGGCCGAGTCGCTTTGCAATTGTAATTGAGATAATATTTATTTCTGCATTTTCCCATGCATTAGCCGATAATGGACCACATTGGTATTATTGATTCTTGTTTTTTCTATCTTTTTTCAGAGGATCACCGGATTCTCTTCATGGTATTTGAACAACCGGGCGGAAATAAGAATTTCACGTTCCCAGTTTTAGATGACGAGTAAGACTCATCTAGTCGCATTTTTCTCTTCCTAATCTTTTTTAGCCTACTTTATTCGTCGCGATTAATTCGTTATTAGTGACCATGAGTCCTACATTTATTGACACCATAAATCATCGAGGAGAACCGAATATGACCATCCGTCTGAAGGGGGTATCAAAATTTTTTCTACCGGGGTGATGGAGGAGGGGGAGGGGAGAGTAGAGAGAGAATACAATTGAGGGGCTTGAAGGACAAGGCGCATACAGGCAGTTTTTAAAAAAATTGAGATATTTTTAATTTCAAGTAAATCTAGTCTTGATGCATATTCTGTGAAAAAATCGCTCCCAAATTCCAATTTTTAAGCATCAAAATGTCAGTTTGAACTTTTTTTCCGCCATAAGGATCCACGTATAATTTCGAAACTTCAAACACGTATTTCTCGAAATAGCAGAAACTGCACTTGTGCGCCTTGTCCTCCAAGCCTATCAATTATCTCGTGACGTTGACTCCTTCGGATCTGAGAGGTTTGAATTGAGAATTCTCGTTCACGCAAAAAATTCTCATCCCGACTTATCTCTGGTAAATGTGGAACATTATCAATGTGACATCGAAATTCTTTACATAACAAATCATTATAATGTCCCTCAGATATCACTCTGACCTCACTCTGAACATTTAGACGTCAATATGATGTCACTGTGATGACAGAGTGTTCAACGGACATCACAGTGACGTCAAATTGCCTTATGAAACACAAGGACGATTTCATTATAACATCAGAGGAATGTCCAAAGACATAAAGACGGAGCGCTAAAAGCAAAAAATGAAGCTTCTTTTTAACCACCTCTACTATTGGCTAGAGGATTGGCGGCGAAATCGGGACAAGTTTGAAATTCAAATGTAGGGCGGGAACTAAATAAAATTGCGGAAACAAAGTATTTTAGGTTGATTTTTTCCCAAATTCACTTACACACTCATATTTTTATAACTTTAGGTTATTTTTGGTCCGTCGTCGACCGATTAATTTCATTTGGGAGTAACGGTCATCTACGACTGTAACGGCCTGTTTGAACCGGCAGAACCACCATGAGCAGAAGAAAAACTAACTTTATCTGAGATTACTGCCTGTTACCGAGCAAAAGTAGGTGTATTATAGTAGGGCGCAGTCCCAACTTTCTTAATATATTCGTTTTAGGCATTTAAAATACGTTTCAAAGAGGAAATGTGGAAAAATCAAGAGGACAAGTTCAAATCAAATTTCCGTTTGCCGCCATGGATTCCCGCGCTCATTTACACACTCACATAAGCACCCAGCGCCAAACCAGGCTTCACTTTTTCCCCGTGCTTTTAGATACGAGCACTCCGTCTTTATGTCTTTGGGAATGTCACAATGTCCCCCATTTACCAGAGCTGGAGAAACTAACCTCAATTTTTTTTCATTACTTCACTGCCTAAATTTTTCTTCCTCTTTTAATTCCAGTCCAAACGACGCGCGACGGAACGAATTCAACGCTCATAAGTTCATAGAGGAGCATAAACTGGTACCCCCGGTGGCGGTCAACTTCTACATGACGCGAGAAGGACTCCTGGAGGCGGAGGAGACGCTCTCGAAAAAGAGGTCAAAGGGCGCGGAGGGCGTCAAGGGAGAAAGGTTCAACCCCCACGAAGAAGAGGATGAGAAGGAGATTGAATATATTTAGAGCGCCTTAAACAGAGAAAAAAGATTCGATGCTCTTATGATGCTTATAGTTAATCCCAGGTACTTTCGGATTTTCTTATCGTAGTTACCATATTAATTTCAAGGTCGCAAAAGATACCTAATTGCCTATAGACAAAAATAAAATTCAAAATGTCAAAAGTAGACATTTTCCTCAGAAAAGAACGTAAGTGGATTTCCGTGTTGCCAAATTTTCCTCGCGCAAATTGCATTTCTACCAGGAGAATTGTGGGCATTTCTACTCTGGGAAAAAGTCTCTCGGATCCAGAGTCCAGACTTTCAAAAAATTAGACAAGAAAAAATACTCTTGATTAGATCGGATTTTTGCTTGAATCAAAAAGAAATCCGCCTAAATTAAGAGTGTTGACTTTCGATTCATGTGAAAATCCGATTGAATCAAGAGTATTTTTTCTTGTCAAATTTTTCAGAAGTCTGGACTCTACATCCAAGAGACTTTTTTCCCAGCACTACTGAAAATTTCATTGATATTTTCTCTGATTTCGTGCAAAAATCAAGACGAATTTTTGACAAAAATTTCACGCATGCATTCCCTTAAGAAACTGAATTGTTCGAGCTAATTTTGCAACCTTGGAATGAAATTACGTTCCCTCGTCCGAGAAACGACGAAATGAACGTATTTAAATCAAAAAGAACTTTAATCATCCTAACATGAGCCTTGAGATCCATCAGCATACATGCATGGCAGGGCTCATGGCACAATGGATATAGTTCTTTTTGATTTAAATACATCCAAATATCTCAAGTGCTCTCTAGATCCGACCCTGGCAGTGAATTGTACATTCAGAGGATGCAAGTTTAACTACCAGGGCAGTGAAAATAGCATTTAGAACACATTTGAATCCTACAATATGAAGCACCATAATATTATTATATTCTGGTTGGTAACAATACTTCAATTCCGATAACAATGCTGTATCGTTACCGGGATCGAAAAAATTGTTACCGCAAAAGTAGAAGTGTTAAGCTGCTGTCCTATAACGAGTCCGACTGTACAATCAATGACATTCGCGGGCTAAATGGACAGTCTGCGCACTGCGCATACGCACATTGTCGGACTATACAATCGAGACTGCTCGTGTGATTGCAGGTCAATCACGATGGCATCGCGCCTTCAATTATGCAGATGCAACACGGACATCCATCAAGCACGAATAGTTGTATCTCTGCGCCGTCATCGAGTAGCGTCTTCTCCCTTGCTCTATTTCTCAATTTTGCCTTGGTCCCGTTTATTTGATCTGTAAAGGGTGCTCCAAGGGCAGGTTGGGCCTGGAATCTACTGCAAGTCTTGTAAGAGCATCGATTCTTTTTTGCTCCGCGATAGATGGCACTACGTGCATTTCAGAATAAAACAAAATGTAACTAATGGGTCAGATTTTCTAATTTGTATATTTTTTGTGAGAACAATGCATTTTTTAGTTTTAATAAAAAGTACAGAGTCTCAAAGTCTTTTTGTAGCCGTTGTCCGGAGAATAGGCGTTATTTTACGGAAGACACATTTTCAAAAAAGCAATTTTTGTAGCGTCGGGTCGAAACATCGACTTCTGTTTCAACGAAAACCGGTCTCTAAAGTGTTTTCAGGAATGAAAAATTCCAGTTGAGTTTTGTGTAAATTCGGTTGCGATTTTTCTTACAATTTTTTGGCGATGAAAGCGCTGGGATCATCAACATCTGAGCGATTATCCTCAATCCCGTCGCAATTTTATCTCTATAAAATCGCGTTCGATAAAATCGACATTTTATTTCAATTCATCGTGGTTTCTGTTCGATAGTTTTGCGATAAATCACAAAATAAATCGACGAAATCAAAATTGGACGTATTTATGCTATATGGTTCACGTGCAACATAGCTCCTTTTAGCATAAATGCACCCAATTTATGCGATGAAATTGCAATAAATCGACGCCGATGCAATCGCGATACATTCTCCGATCAAATAGCAACATACCCGGACACTGCTACTTGGATACAAAGAATAATAACTCAGTGCGAGACTTAAAGCGAATTTTCGCGATCGAATATCATTCACCGTTGAATGATATTCGACGATTGTGCATTTTTTTTCAATGATATTCGACTTCTTCGTTGGTCTCACCAGAGACCGTTGAAATCCATCAATTTGAAATGTCGAATTCACCTCGGGACTTGAATTCGATTTTTGAATTGATGAAATCGATGTCAGAAACTTCATCTCTCACCAAAATTTCTGTTCTGTCATCTCTATCTGTTGTTGTGTTTTGTCAATTCAAGTCTGGTGTTTTCGCAATTTCTGTGTTTTAGTGTTTCGTGTTTTCTTATTTTCTTCTTAATTTCATTTAGGAAAACAATTTGAGCTCTGATTGGCTCCTGACATCACCGATCATCGGCATCACACAGCACTGATCAATTCGTTTGATGAATGACATTCGATCGCGAAAATTCGCTTATCACAACAATTCATGATCATAATTTGTATAATTCCTAAAACTCCACTCCTCCACTCCCGGCAACACGATTGTATCCCAGAAATCCGGAGGGTACACTGGTACTCTCGGCAAAGACTCCTCATCCTCAGCACCGTTCATGACGTCATTCCTCCGATGACCATCCTCCGCTGCCGGTGATTCGACGTCATCAAAATCCAACGGCCTAAACGCATCGTGCGCGTCATCCGGTGTAGGGGTGGTATTTTCATGTGCCGGTGTTAAAACAGGATCATCCAAGGGTGTTAAAATCAAGGGCCTTGTGTCATCCGGTGTCTCTTCGGTGATCAACGGTGGCAACGGTGCGACAAGATACTGTATTTCCGGCTCAAAGGCGGGTGTTGCGTTCGACGTTTCCGGAGTTGGGGTGGTGATTTCCGGTGGCGGCCGTAGGACGGGATGAGGGATTTCCGGTTCCGGTGCTGATGTTGTGTTTAACGGTATTGTGTCATCTGGTGTTTCGGTGGTGTTCAACGATGGGAGCGACGTGTTGAGGAAAGGTAGTTCCGGCTCGGGTGCGAATGATGTATTCGATGCTGCTGTACCGTGTGTTGTACTCCATGGTTCTGTATCATTCGAAATTTCGGCTGTTGTACTCCATGGTTCTGTATCATTTGACGTTTCGGCTGTTGTACTCCATGGTTCTGTAACTGCGAGGGGTGGTGGTGGGAGGGGGTGTGGAGCTGGTGGCTCAGGGGCTGCAGCGGTCGCCGAAAAAGTAGCGGAGAAAATTATTGCCATGAAGTCAATTGCAGTGAAAAAGGGATGCTTCATTTTTTCCCCGCATTAGCTCGTGGCCATGGCGACTGAAAATAGGTAAAAGAAGGATTCAAAGTTCGTGCAAGTTGGAACACAAAGAAAAGAGTATTTTCCAGTTTTTTTCTCATGGTTTTCATGTCGATAGTTGACGTGGGAAAGCGCGTAAATCTAATTGCGATGTTGCAAATCTCCTCTCAGATGTCATTTTTTTTAAGGAGGCTCATAGACGGGTTTTATCATAGAAAATCTATGTGAATTTTTTTTCACACGTTAAAAAAAGATCTCAGAAAATTTGAAAGAAATGTTTGAATTCTTTTGCTTTTCAAAAAATTATAAATTATAGGAGATTTTTAAGCGTTGCAATGTGAGTGCGGTTGTTTTACTTTAGCCATTGAAAAGTTATAACTTCCAATGGCATTGGTTTTGATTACCCTTTTTCTGAAATAGCAGCCTTAAAATGCGACCACCCCCGTCGTTAAATTAGTTTACAATGTGGTTAAAGTAGCATTTTTTGTTGTAAAATCTGCGTTGAAACATTCCACTCACTGTTTTCAGCAATTGAATTGTTGAATCAGCATTTTTTTTTCCGTGTGCGTTATATAATCGATTCATGTCGGAGCATCTGGTCCCTTCAAGAATCGATACATTTCCATAGGTTTAAATGGAGAAAAACAATGTTGCCAATTTGCTAGATCCGCCAATGAGTGTGGTTTTGCACGTCGGGCATTGTTATGCATGACAATTGTATGGCCTGGTTACACGCTCAAATTTCCGTCAAATTCCGATCAAAATGATAACCGAGATGGCAGTCGAGAGTTATCTAGATTGCAGTGGCGTAGCGTGAATTGCGATATATGGATCGTTATGCCATTTAAACCTATGGAAAAGGATCAATAAACAGAGTGTTCGCAGCGAACACCTTAATATTCGATTCTTTACCATAGGTTTAAATGGCATAACAATCGATACATCGCCATTCACGCCACGCCACTGCTAGATTGATGAGTAAAATTAATTAAAAAAGCGTGTTGATTGAAATAAGCATGAATAAGCACGGTTGTGTGGAAATCAGATGAAGGATGAGCCCCACAGTTCCATCATCTACCATCAAATTTTTGCAGGCCGCAGAAATTTGTTGGTAGATGGTGCGCACCAGTCACCATTTGATCGGAAATTGATGGAAATTTGAGCGTGTAACTAGCACATTATAGAACAAAATCTTACCTCTTGGATAGAACGGTGAGACGGAATCCGGCCCGTCTGTTGAACAAATTAGGACAAACATGAGTTTTCCAGATTTTCCTCCTCGCTCTTCCCAGCTCTCGTTTGAAACTGTGACAACTTCTCAGATTTTCCAGTTAACGCCCTTGGGCGTTATCAGTCTTTGAAAATAACAATGGGTCGAACGTGCTTGAGTAAATTATACTTCACAGTGGCGATTCCATTTCCTTTAGTGTTGCGACGGTTTTGTATTTAAAAGCACGTAACTTGAAATTTCGGATCATAAATCCGTTTCAGTCGTATTTTAATCGCATAGATGGATCGCATTTAGCAAAAAGGAACCAGCGCAATTATGGTGTTATAAAAATGTTGCTTCTTCGCAAGTATCAAAAAAATCTCCTAGAATATCAAATATTTTGCTTCCCACCAAAAAATGTTTAATTTTAAAGGACATTAATTTTGTGAATCTTAATACCGTACATATTTTGAGTATTTTTAAAAGAAAAGAAGAAGCCGCACAATTTTGAAAACACTGATCGCGCTGATTCCTTTTTGCCTAATGCAATCTTTTTTTTTTATTATTATTATTTATTAAACATATCAACTTCTGTACAGAAATAAGATATTTAGATGTAACTTAAAAATAAATAACGGTTATCGACTGAAAATATATACAATTATACAGACTTTTTCCTAACTTGGATGCCCTGGGACGAGCATCGCAGAGCCCATAGAGAACGGTATAGTTCCCGGTATCTGCGGTGTCCGACCCCGAACAACCGGAACAGCATTATACTAACCACACAGTGATGAGTATAAACCTAACATTTAACAGTGAAATTTGATACCATATACTTTGTACAGGAAAAAGAAAAAGAAATTACGACATACTAAGAATAATACCAAACATATCACTATAGTTTAAAGCCACCCCCAATCAAGGGATTTTACGATGATATATGGGGGTTAATCGGGTACTACGGTTGCCAGCTCAAAGGGTTAGCGCCTTCTGAGCCTCCGTAGTTGATCGTAGTTTTAATGCAATCGAAACGTTAAAATGAACAGTGTAGAATGATGTTTCTCTTAAATCATCTGCCAGTCGTTAGGTTGTCTCTCCTGTTACACTGGAAAACAAATCTGCTCTAAACAGTAAACACAACAGTGTGTTAGTTTGGTTCTTTTCTTCCAAGACACAATGGTGTGTGCCAAAAATACACGACGTGTTCAACTGACACGCCATTGTGTTCCTTTTTGTGTTTCTGGCATTGAATCAAAGGACTGGATCCCAAGGAAGCATTTGCTGACAAACTACCAGTGCCCACCCACAGATAATGGGGACACAAATTGTGAGCTTACCGAATCTGAAATTCCCGAACCACGTATCTCGTTTGTGATGTTTAAAAATCTTATCTTCTTTAATTCTTTAAGTCTTTAAATCTGGACTAATGTTTTAAGTCTGGGCTAATTCTTTCAGTCTTATATTCGCTCCGATTTTATTGTTTTAAAGAAGAAAAAATGAACATCATTTCCTGAAATTTTCTCAGAATCTGCTTCGTTTAGAGAGAAAAAATCATGGACCTTTTTAAGAATTGACATTGAATAGCTTCCCATTTTAAAAAATGAAGTACGACAGGAAGGTACCAGAAATAATCGGACCTGTGAATTCAGATATATTCAGCAGGAGCGTAACAGTAATAGTGTCTATGTATTCGGCACTTATTCAGTGCAACGATGGTTGCCTGACGCTTTTATTGAAGGCAAACCAGGAGAATCTTCAGAACTAGAAATCTGCAATGAATCTGGCTGGAATAACGAGATTGAATCGAACCGACCTGAAATTGTCTTTGAAATTTAAAAAATCGGTACAAATCAAGTATGGTGACCAATGTTTACAAGGTACGAAAGTATGATAATCGCTTGTAATTCGCTTTCATTCTTCGTTAACTTGGTAACTTTTGTAAAAAGATTGAACAATTTTGCATAGTATTTTTGATGTCATTTAATTTTATTTCTGAAATTGTTTCTTTTCATACAATTTTTCATTTTTCATCTTTTATCGCATGTGATTCTTAAAATAAAAGTCAACGTTTACTCATCAATCCATGCAAAAACATAACATGTCCAAAAAAATACTCACTAACAAATTCAGTGCATATTAAGCAGGATTGTCAAAATTGGCCATAATTCATTCTGCACACTCTTAGTAACAATAAATGGCTTTGCCAATACGACCATATTTTACTTCGTTTTTTAAATTTTTTCCCTCGCCTACACAATCCGATTTTTTGGACCTGTCGCGTCTGATTTTAACATAGACTGAATGATTTTCCTGCGATCCTTTCGCGTTTGTCTGATCACGTCTAAGATCGACCAGTCAAATTACAAATCCCAAGGTTTCGGTTATAGAGCCTCCAATCTATTTTCGGCTCCGAGCTCCAAAAAGCTGCGGCAAAATGTACAAGTCACGCTTCTTTAATTTGACAGCTTTTATGCGTACATCACATTCATTCGCCTCATTCAGTAGTCGGACGCGCGGCGGGTTAAGCTTTACCTTATGACACCGCGCCAAACCTTCGCCTGCGGGTCTAGCGTCGCACAGTGAATCGAGTCAATGAGAGAGGTCGGACAAAATCTGGACGCTTATAACTCGGTCTATAAAAAACTGAGGTTCTGAAAGCGGTTCCGTTGGTTTCCTCGTGAAGTTTTCTTTCAGGAACACACCTTAAAAGGAGGGGTTGCGATTTGAGCCGAAATCGGTCCCTCCACGGAATTGAATAATTTTTGGATATTTGGCAGTTGACGGTGCATATATGACGGAAATAATCGGGTTTTGCCGATACTCGAGTCTTTTGGCTGCGAAACAGGGGCCTTAATATGGCTCCGTGGCCGATAATACCTGAAATTTCGCGTTTTCCGCGGTTCTACCTCAGATTTCGACCTGGGCCCAAAGGCGACGGGTGATGAGCTTCAAATATGGTGTCTGGGACACCTAGACACGTAACATACTTGAATATATAGCTATTTCAGGCTAAAAAGTTGGAAAAGTTCGATTTTGAGGTTGGGCCCAAAGGCGACGGTTGATCATATTCAAGTATGTTACGTGTCTAGGTGTCCCAGACACCATATTCGAAGCTCATCACCCGTCGCCTTTGGGCCCAGGTCGAAATCTGAGGTAGAACCGCGGAAAACGCAAAATTCTAGCTATTTTCGGCCACGGAGCCATGTTTAGGCCCCTGTTTCGCAGCCAAAAAACTTGAGTATCGGCAAAACTCGATTATTTCCGTCATATATGCACCGTCAACTGCCAAGTATCCAAAAATAATTCAATTCCGTGGAGGGGCCGATTTCGGCCCAAATTGCAACCCCTCCTTTAAAATGTGACGAAATAAACACCCAAAATTCGCAGTTTTAGTCAACAATTTTATGTCCGACTTCTGGAATCGACTCGATCCATTGTGCGTCGAATAACATCTCCGCATTCCGGGTTCCATCTCCATTGCACAAAAACGTGTAAGCTAGTGAACTTTCCCAATATTCAACCACCGGCGAGTGGTCTGAGGACCATGTTCGTAGTTACTTTTTGCTCTTTCAGCAAATGTTTTCCTTAAAGAGACGCACGGGGCTGATTATTGACATTGATAGACAAAGCTACACGGAGAAAAAACTTCGTGCGTGGGACCCGAAGTTTAGGTCATATGGATCTCTGAAGTTTTCGGATTGAGCATCTGAGCACTTTAGATCTAGCTGTCGAGGTTCGGATC